TCGAAATAAAGAAAAAGTTTAATAACGCTCCAAAGGTTGATTTCAATAAAAAATAATATTAATTAAGTTGGCCTTCAAACGGATACATTGTCCAATTTACGTTCATTTTGGATTAAAAGGTTTTGTCATTCAAAATGTTTTGCCCGTTTTCTTTCGTCATGTGCATAGTAATTTACGGAACGTTGTGTTGCAACTTGCAAGTGACCGTGTGCTGAAAATTCGCTGAGAATGTTTCGCAATTGGGCAATGGAAATGAGGGTGCTATAGATTTATAGAATACTGCACTGCATACTGTATGGAGTGTCGTCGTGTGAATATGAATATACCCTTGTACATAGTTCATTGAAAATTTGGAATGAAACCATCGTTGAATAAATTTTGCTTATCAAGGAATTGCTAAGATAAATTTAAATTTGATGAAATTTAAATACATATTAAAAATGGTGGAAAATACGCATTCATATTTGATATTTGCTCGTCAATTAATAAGCCAGCACGTAGTCAAAATTTTTCCAATCGGCAAACATACTACTGTAGTACAGTACTGTACTGTATATGTATGCATATTTTGCCGTGGTTGAAAGTGTTTCACCTTTCAATTTCTGCATTCTCAATTCAAGTGCATGAACTTGCTGTGAGAGAAGTCTTTTTCAGCTTTGTGAACCTAATTTATTTTGGAAAATGGCTTTCCCCTCTTTCTACATTTTCCTGTTATTTAATATATTAGTATTGCATATTTTCTCTCAAGAAAATCTTCATTCCAAAATACTCATCCACCCGTTGTTGGTTTAATAATACGTTGTTGAAGGACGTCATCCTGATATCTTGACACGAAAGTTCTGATGGTTTGGTGCGATGGTTTTTTTTTTCTATCTTCTTCTGAGAAATGTACTGTAGCTTCTCAAGTTTGACGCCCGCGGTTCGAGTTTTTCTGGGAAATCGTGTCAAGAGTTGGTGCGTCTGCAGGTCTACAATAGTCTGCTCAGTAAATCGCAGCTATATACTGTACTCGTCAAGAATACAGTGGGGGTCTTGGTTTACAAATGCCCTGGTTAAAAACTACTTTGAATAACAAACTTTGCATTTTGGCCTTTGCTGACTTGGATAACAAACCATGACTTGTTTTAAAAAGTTTGATTACAAAGGCGGGCCTCCCAAAAATGCCTGCCTTCCTGGGTCTGAACTTGACACCATAAATTTTCCATTAGATATTTCTTGCTCCTAACCAGGATTGAGGTTTTAATTAAATAATAAAATGATTCCTGCATGCTTTTGACTTCTATTTCAACATTTTAATTGTATTTTTCCATGTTTATTCCTTAATTGTTCTCGCAATCTGCTTCCACCTGAAGAAAATAGGGTTTAGGGCTGAAAGGAGTGTACAGAAGTGTAGAATGTACAGATATGTAAATCTCTACTAAGAAACTCAAGGAACCAGAACAAGATTCGTTGTCGAGAGAATTTCGATGTATAGAGAACTCTGATAGCATATGCTGTGAGCATTTACCTCTATAATCGGGACCCAAAAAAATGTGCTCTACAGAGAAAGCCTTTGTATACAAGATCGTACTTGTCGACGATGAGAGAGAGAGAGCCCACCTTTACTACCAAAGTTTTCGTTCATCCCGATGCGTTATTCGAGGTATTTTTCAAAAGCTGTTTTACAGTTGAGCTTATTTTTTTTTCGAATATTTGAAATCACGGCGGGAATTGTTGAAGAGGGATGGTTGTGATTTTTTAAATGTTCATTTGTTCCAATAATAGGGACTCGGATCAAGAGAGCGTTTTCTGCACTGACGGGTAATATCTGCATAATTAAGTCTTTTTTTTCGAACTATAGTACGTTTTGCAGATCAGAAGGACAGTTACTGATTGAAGTGCAGTGCGGCACTGTACAGTACTTTATCATTTCAGATACGTTTTGAAGAACTTCGGGCAAATATTTTTGAATTCGTTCGATTTGAAACGCTCGAATACCTGTATACACTTTAACAAGGTCGAATGCTCACAACAAATGGAAAATGTGAATTGTCCTTGAAATTTTTCAATGTAAAAATTGTATCAAATTGTATAAATGCCTTCAGCACATCATGGTCTAGTTGTCTATACACTCCACAGCGCATGTCGAATTGTGAAACGTTTCACGTTGAGTTGACGAAGGAACGTTGTGTGCGTAGATGTCGCTGCAATGTAAACGTAAATGCATAGCCCAGTCATACGCAGCATATACAATTATCAAGTTTTTTGTTCAACCTCAAGTGGCACGCTTTTTATTTGAAACTGTGGAGGAAATCGAAAACCAATTTAATCTCATTTTGAACCTACCATATTCAGGTTCAATTTAAGGAAATATTACTGCATGCAGTGCTTTTGTTTCTCTATTCCTGGATTCCTAATAATTGGGAATTCGAGAACGGGTTTATTTGCGATCTGCTTGCCTGCAACTTTTTGTTCTTACTATCAAAATTTCAGCATCAAGACTTCGCAATTACGGTCTTCTCCCGATCATTTTTCTCGTGCCCATGCGTCATTTACTGTTCAGCGCAATATCTTTGAACACCCATAGTATGACCTATATATCAGGGACTCCTAGCTAGAGGTTGCCCGGAACACAAAACATACAACACGCCACGAACACAAAGATCGAATAACGCACATCAACCAAAAATCCCACTGACCATGAAAACCGGACACTATAGAAAACCAGTTCATCCTCCAACTCTTGAAACCACCAAGCACGAAAGATTTCACTCTACTTCCTGACTTCGTGCTGTTCGTTTCGAAAGTGCTGAATCTGAAAGTAAGAACCATTTTCCATAAAAAAAAACCTGTGAAGCTCGAATTACAACAGTTCTTGAAGACTTAGTCTTGGCCACAAACAGCCTATTATGCATTTCCTTTATTTTCTGTGAATTTCTTTGTCAAGGATCTAAGGGTCCCTGACACTATATACACCCTGATCCCTGAAGCTGTGTGCAGTCATGGTAGAACTCCTGTTTTATAATGTTCATGCTGATCCTTGTTTGGTCTATGGTGATTTTGTGAATTTTCTCCTTTTTGCACTTGCATTTTTCGCGTGTTCTTTTGTGGTGGATTTTACAGTGGGGCACCAACATGCAGGCAATTAGACATATAGACGCTTCTAATTTTTAAAAATCTACTCCATCGACTATTTTCCAAAAATAGTAGTAGAAGTACTGTATTAAATACTGTAGTAGTGATTATTAATTGCATCCTAACTTTGGGAAACGTACGTGCTGTAGAGATAATTAGATTATTATGCATTGGGGCCCTGAGGAAGAAGGGTTTTTTAAACCAGGGTTGGAATGCATCTAATCCTTCCGGGTAGCCAGTTTGTTCCTCAAGGCATTCTTCATGTGAGGCAGTGTTCCCCAACCTTTTTGGGTTTCCAGACCAGCAAATTTCCATAAAAATGTTCGCAGACCAACAAATTCCCCAAAAAATGTCTGAGGACTGGCATGAAGTTTCATGAAATTCTTACAGACTTGAAAAAAAAATGTTGATAGACTTATGGCAGGTATATACAATTTTCTGCAATTCTTGCAAAACTCACATTAATCACCTACGAAGCAGCTTTTGCTAAATGTCATCAAAAACTTAGAAAGGTGGGCTTGAAGAAGGGTTTCTCAGAATGAAAATTTAAAAAAAATTCATTTCAGCTGGTAAAAATGTGTTCAAAGGGTTATTAGGAGAAAAGCCAACTTTTATTTTTCATTGAATGATTTCAACTGCCATTGTCTTTCCAAAGTTTTAGATAATGATAAGAGAGTTCATTGCTACTTCTAATAAATTTATTGTGCTGAAAATTTTCCGCGGACTGGCGCTGGTCCGCGGACCATGGGTTGGGACACTGATCTATAAGCACATTTTCCCAAAAATCCCATGATTTTCAATAAACTTACTTAATTAAAACCAATTAAATCATTTAATTGGTTCCAGTACAAAAGAAAATTTAGTTTAAGCAACTAAAAGATATGATGTGCAACAACATTCAAAAACAGACGATGACACACAGAATAAATTGCTGATGCTGATCTTCCAATGGAAATAACATCATTAGCATGAATCGGAAAGGAAATTTAAATTCAAGTACTGTATATATTTTAGTTTTCCCTTGAATTTGAAATTCAAATTTTTTTTACATTTTTGATTCCCATTTTTCAGTATTTCATGCAGTAATGTCATGAAAAACTAGTGTATCCCCTTTTAAAGTTTTTAAATTCTGGCAATTGCTATAGCTGGTTTGTTTACATTACATCGCATGAACTTCAGCAAGGAAGAAAAATCCAGGCTTTGCTTTTGAGCGAACCATAAGGTTTTCTATCCATCTTGATTCTCAAAATTGAAAAAAATCCCTGTTTCAAGCTTCAAGAAGTTTGCCCATTGCGAGATAGAGGGTTGTTTACATGACACGGATTTCTGCAAAAGAAAAAAAAAACGCAAGCTTTTGAGCAAACCATACGCATATTAGGGTTCTCTCTTCCTATGCAGTATTCATTTTAAAACTTGAAAAAAAATCCCCCTTTTAAATTTCTCTTGCTGTTATTCTTGCTCAAGGCCTAACAATAGAACTTGTCATTGCGAACAGTAGAACTATATTTAATCCTCATGATGTCAATTTCAATCTTGTATTTTGAGCGACGTACCCCATGAATGATCCTAGATTGCAAACGTGAACAAGCGGACTCTTTTCTTTTTTTTTCTTTTTTTTTTTACGACGCATCAATTTTGTTGTTGATCCCATTCATAGGCTTTTCTACTCACTTTATAAAAGGGGTTTCTTCAGCAATTTTGTTCTGGTCCCCTGAATTTTTATTGAGAGAGAGAGAGAGGGAGCTCACCTTTATTACCATTATTACCCTGTGTTTCCATAATTTACGTCTGAGCGGCGTACGTATGACTCACATAATGACTCATATCGAATGCTTGCACTTCGATAGCAAAATCCTCGCGTTTTCTCGTCATCAAACCGGTCCGCAATGACGGCACATGGGCGAGCCTGTCTGAAGTGGTCGGGTTGCGCTTGCCTTGTATGAACTCGTCTTATCGGGGTTTCCTTCAAAAGCGTGTAATGCAAACAACCCGCTATTGGGTTCCCACCTATATGCCCAGGTAGACCATATAACCCGTGTTCGGTGTCGGGATGCTGCAGTTGCGAGCAAGATGTTGGAGTTGTCGGGTCGCATCGTGGTCCTGCTTTGCGTGGCTGGTCTGGTCGCCTTCGCGGTGGCCATCACCGTTGCCCTGGTGGATCCCTTTGAAGACGATGACGAGCCGAAACAGAGCGTATTGGGCCAACATCGTGTCGACTGTAGCAGCAGCAGCAGGAGCGACAGTGGCGAAATAAGAACGGAGGCAGAGGGAGACGAAGGAGACGAGGAAGAATACTTCCGACCGGAAGAGTATTTGGACTTCATGCTTCCGATGGATCTGAATCTGTGTCACGACACGGAGTTGTTGGAGTATGCCATTTCTTTGCCGGACTACTCGCGTGCCGTGAGATGGGCGGAGTTGGGGAAGAAGTGCGCCAAGTTTCATCGCATGTTCCGAGGTGGATTCCCGGGATCCAGCAGCAAAGGTGTGTTTATTTTGAAATTGCACGTGACCTCATTCACGATACCGAAAGGTTTTTCTTACGATTTTTTTTTTTACATTTTTTGCTACGAAAATTGAGAATTTTTGAAAATCAGTATTTTCGGCGCGCGGCGGCATATCATATTTTAATTATGATATAAGTATAATGAAAGCGCATGATTTTCGGACCATCGCAATACTTTGAGCAATTAAAATTATGATATCTTTTGAAGTTATCCAAGGAGGTTAAGCTGTCACCTCAAACTACCTACAGTACTTAGTACGTAAAAATACATTCTCCGCTGATGTGAGAGAATTGACCGCAATAGTGAATATGAGTCTTAAATTCCCATGCAGAATTTTTCTCAGTTTTTCAGGAACGAAGAAAGTATATGCTTGGTAACCATTGAAATTGGTAGTGTTATACAGTTTTTTGGTAAATGTGGTATTTTTGTAATTTTTTTTTCAAGAATCTTACTGCATTGTATCGGCTTTCATATGCACGTATAGTACTGTGTTAGTTGCATTGTCATTTATGAATGTTCGTTCAAAAAGCACAATAGTAGTGTTTGTGAAAATTAAATAAATCCTTAATTTTCCGTCGCAATTGCCTTGATGGCAATATGAAATCAGAAAAGCTTGGGATGGTTCATTAAATTGAAACTCCTTTTGATTGAAATCTGAGCAGCAATGGGGACAAAAAAGTTGATATGCTTCGATCTAAATTCTCAGAGGAATTTTAGATCGAACCATATTTCCCGCTTTTCAGTTCTTCAACTGTTGTTGTAGGGAATGCACTATTTTTTATGTCATAAGCATATTTTATTAATTTTATGTACTGTGCTTACTCAAGTGCCATGCGTCCTTGCCTAATACACGCACCGTAATTTTCGAGCTGGAAAATTAGGTAAAACGTATCCCTGCTGTATGAGACGCCCATCCCACTTTCCTGTGAAAAGTGTGCACAATTTGAAAACAGCTGAAATTATCAATTTGTACTTGAACATTAGAATCCCATTGCTTTCAATTTGTTTCTCTTCGATAATATATCTGTGTAGTACTGCTGTCATGTGACCCAAGGACAACGCACGCAAGACTTTAGGATAAGTTCGTGCTGCTGTCGGTCAAATATTACATGAACTCCGCGTTTTGTTCGTAAAATTTTTTTTTGGCGGGAAAAGTGCGTGGGATGTACTCAAGTAAAAGCAGGATTATTATCGTTATTTGCATGTTTATCGTTTTGAGCAGGACCGAAGAAGAATAGAAGCGACGTGTCGTCGGGCAGCGTGTCGATGGTCCGCAATCCGGAAAAGTCGTCCATGCCGCGCTGCAAAAAGCCCCTGATGACGACGGTCAACGTAACCCAGGAGCTGATGGAGCAGCAGAGCGGGGAGAATAATAAGCTGGGTACAAAGCGGCCCCGCCTCGTGGTTCCGTCGTGTCTCCGGCTCAAGCGGTGCGGGGGCTGTTGCCCGGGTCAGCTGAGATGCACGCCGACACGAGTGACCCACAAGCGCGAACAGGTCAACGTGGACGGACAGAAGTTCGATCACGATTTCGAAGTGCACGATGGGTCGTGCAAGTGTCAGTGTCCGGTGAGTTTTTGGCCGATATCCGCGCGTGCTAACTGCCTATTTTACAGTACAGTACGCAGTATAACGAATTACAAAGTTGAATCTCGATAAGTAACCGAATTTCGTATCTTCAACACTCCGTCTGGCGAATTTTTCGTGAGTACCTCGAAATTCAACTGCTGGGAGAGAAATAACAGACAGGGGTGATAATCAATTGGCATGTTGTGAAAAGGCAGAAATGAATAATATGGCTCTGTAGCATGGCGAGGTGGTTTCTCTATTTGGGCAACAAAAACTGCTTGAGAATTATATAAAGATGAATATCTTGGTTTTGATGCCTTCAAGAAATCTTTAAAATGTCCAGCTCAAGTTACAGTTCAAGCTTGATAATGAGAAAATTACATAAAAATTCAATTTGATGTGTTTTGAAATGAAGTAAAAGACTGATATTGGGCAAATGAACCCTTGCCTCCAAGTTCAGCATCCTGTCAACTCATTTACGAAACTATCATATGTCAAGATAGAATTTCACTGATAATGTCCTGCAATTCTTCCTTCTTTTCTCGGACTAAAATTGCTTCCTTAATTCAAAACCTCCCTACGTCGCATTCTTTTGCTTGTCCCTTTGAAGTGGGTCGATTGTATTTAAAAAGGAAGGAGGTGTTGATTTAGTTTTAGCTGTAAGAAAATGTTTAAAGATTTTTGATTTGACGTTGGTTAACGCGTACGATTTTTCCTCATGAACTTCTTGGTATATATGAGTTCAGTAATCAGTTAGCAGAGCGTAGAACATGAAGCTCAGTTCGTAATCTCATCCTCGTTGCAACTTAATCCAGTGATCAACCAAATTATTTTCAGCCATCAAAATTATTTACTCACAACATTTATATTTTTGTTTCATAAGGGAACAGGAGATATTGCAACATTCTCATTTTGCGTTTGCTTTGCAGGGAGAATGTCGAGAAAATCAGGTGCGGGCAACCGACGATTCGTGCAACTGCGTTTGCCGGGAGACCAATCGAAAATGCGAGGGTCATTTGAAGGTTTGGAGTGCTGTTGACTGCGACTGTGTATGCAAGTCAAAGGTGCGGAATAGTTGCTCAACTGGAGGTCACTTCAATGAGACAACATGCGAGTAAGTTTACAGCATTATTATTTTTTACTTGCCAAAATAATCCTATTATTTTTTCGTGACTTGAATTCGTCTGTTGCAGGTGTCAAATTTGAGCGTTTTCTCTGGGTGAACATCCCTGACCAGAAAAGAGGTCATCTTAGAAAACCTATGACCATCTGTGAAGTGCTGATGAGAATCCGTGCGCTCGGTTTCTACTTCTCACTTCTGGGCATGTTTCGTCCGCTAGCGTAAAGAACTCGATACATTTTCACGTAATAATCATTTCTTCGCTTCCGGAAAAACCTTTGGCTGTTGAGGTTGAAAATTCGCGATTTTGTACGTCCCGCTGTGAATGTTGACCTGCAGTAACATTTGTGAGATGAGGACATGAGGTAATTCCGCTCGTGCTTTTTACTCGTTTCCAACGGCAGGAAGACGATGTGCAAAAAATACTGAGACGAAAATTTCAACTTTTGCGTCTGTTTTATTTTTTGTGTCGTAATTCTGGTTTGTATCACAAAACATAATCCAGGACAACTTGAGAAGATGCCGAAGAATCATTATAAGATTTAAAAAAAAGAATCCCTCGTCTATCACATCCTGCTAGTATTCAAAGCACTTCCAAGTCGACATGACGAAGTTCTGGAAATCTTGCCTGGAATTGAAGGAAACACGGTACTTCATACAGGAAGACACGCTTTTTTTCCGTAAGTAAAATACCTTCAATTTCTGCTCAATCCTGTCGATCTCAGCACCCAGCAAATCCACAATGTTTTCCCCGTGTTTTAGCAAGAATGTGTCCAGCTCTTCAATGGTCTTCATTTGCTGCACTTCCTGAAAAAAGGTTTAAGAATTGTCAATGTACTGTATTGCACTTCAACAATCAATGCATTACCCCAAAAAGTCATAGTTCGAAGGCTCAATCAGAACAACTCAACATCATTCATAACTTCAAAAGACGTTATCGATTATAGAACAGTAAAAATGAAAAAAATGGGAAACAATTATTTGGGTTCTGTGTCTTGCATGATGAAGTTGCTTCTTGTAAGCAAAACGAAAGCCTTTTGCTTGATCAAATTGGAACGAGTCAATAATTCCAACTCTTCGAAGTTTTGAAAAATTCGTTCACATCCTCACATTTAGATTGAACGACCAAACCTGCTCGGAGAACTGTGCTTGAAAGAAGTTACAAAAGCAAGAACAATTTATTTTTTCCGCATCATTAATATTTGCTTCGAGGTTCCTTTAATTTGTCATGCAGTTACCTCAAAAAATCGTTCGAGATCCTGAGAATTCAAGTAACGGCGGGTCAACTGGCGGCCGTCAATGTCCACCTCCGCTTTGTATCGCACCAAATCATTGCCCATGTCAATGCCTTTAACATCGTGGATCGCACGAACCATTACGTCCTCTTCCAGCACCTGTCATTCCAAAATAATGCATACAATTCATCAAGGGCATCAAATTCTCAGGACCAGTCAGCGAAAAAGCAGGGTGCTGTATTTGGGTGAAATGCAGGAATCTCGTGAACAAAATTAATAACTAACTCAACTACAGAAACAGTACACGGTAATTACAGTATATTCCCAAGAAAACGAGAAAATTCTTACGCCCGAAAACAAAAAGTCCCACAAAAGACGCACAATACATATTTTCAGGAAGCCCTATCCTTCATACGATGGCTTTTATAATCTTGCTTCGAGTTTTCATTAATCTCGCAGAATAATCTCATTAGAAATAGCCTCTCGGAGCTCATTGAAGTCTTTTAATTGTGTTAGGGCTTAATTTGTCAATTTTGACACGCTCGAGATGATGAACTGGCCGTTTTAGAGCGGAAAAAAATAAACAATCGTCAGCCCAACTGTAAGCAGAAATTCCGTGCATGTTCACATAATCTCACGTTTTTTAATCATAACTTAAGGCATAATCTCTGGAAAGCTTCAGTTCCACATAAATATTCATAACTCACGAGCGACACAATCTGAAAATGTTAACGTTTTTCTCATTTTTTTCCACATCGAAACATTTCCGACGAACCTGGTTGATTTCAACTATCTTCTCGGGCGAGATCGATCGACCCACGAGGGCGTTGGAGTTGGTCTTGATAATGAACATGGCCACAGCGCCAAGAAGGGATCCCACAAAAAGCGAGCCCATCGCATCTGGGATATGAGAACCAGTGAGTGAGGTCAGTCCCATACAGGAGGCGGCAATGACAACTCCCAGTACAGCAGCCGCATCTTCCAAGAGCACCACGTTTACCGTGGGGTCTCTAGCTTCAAGAACTGCCAAAAAAAAAATCTCATCAAAAAATAGCAGAAACCACAGAATCGCATTTGATTAAAACATAAATCGAACATTCGAAGTGTTTTGGTCATTTTCCCGTATTTTGAACTACGGGCAGTGGAGGCACCCGTATAACTTAAGTAAAGCGTTCAAAATGTTACAGTGCAGATGACGTTTTGGTACATCAACATTATACATAAGGTATCGCGAAAAAAAGGTGAGTTGTTATGACCTGCTTTTCCACTCAGAAAGAGATTCCTGTGTATTTTTTACATAGAAAAATGCCAGTATCTTCTGTTTAGTTTCATCAAAACTTAACTCGAACGTTCTTTAATGCACCGTCATTTATAAAGTTACCCTTCATGATAGAAATATTATTTTCTCGTAGTTCTAAATTCTACAACTTACCCGACGGTGGTACAAAATTTGTCTGTCGCATTAAATCTTTTGCAAATTGTCATACACTTGGAGAAAGACTGGTGTGTTCACATAACAGAGGAAGAATTCATCTTTGAACACATACATTCAAAAATTCAGTCAAGACACATCTAGATTCTTTCTCCGAAATAATCAAGCAAAAAATAAAAATACGGTAATCTACACAGGACCATTGAAAAAATTCGTTCCATAGGGGTGCTTATACATTGATCGTAATCTGAACGGATGATGAACAAGAGAATAATGTCGTAGAGTGAGTCCAAGTGTACCAAAACTTGATTCGCAGAATGCTTCATGACAACAGAGATAGGATTTGCTCTCACGCAAAACCCTTATAGGAAATTTCGGACAACAGAGCATGATGATGGAAATATCCAGTCACGAACTATCCTCATTTTCTCAAAGGTGCAACGCCAAGGTTTTTGTATGAACAGAATTTCAATGAAACCTTATCGAATACTCGTCGACGCAGTTGATTATAACTCCTAATGCTCATGCAACCACGACAAAAATGTTCAGATAAATAAGCCCGTTTACCCAGATGCAAGTTCAAGAATTCCCTCAGTCAATCGACGCTCACCGTAATCAATGAATTTCACACCGTGCTCTTTGGCGCCTTTGCTGATTGATTTGATCGCCATGATCAATGTTCCTCCTTCGGCAATCATCGAGCCTCCGAGGACGAGGTAGGCCTACAGAAATAGCATTTCCAAGTTGAAAAGTAAAAGCAGAAATATTGCCGCCGCTTTATTCGTCACTCAACAAATAGACCTCTAATCGACGCATCCTAATCGCAGATCGTCACCAAACAAACAAGTTAAACGCACTCGCTCGAGCTTGATCATCGTCATTCATTCCGAACGACCCTGATTCCTTTCGCACACTCTTTGAAATCAATTTACAAACTCACACGATATATGACTCACCCAAAACACGACATTTGCAAACTCACATAATAAAATACATGACTCACCCAGAACATGTTCTCCACAGAATGCGGATGATAAAGCCCTTCAATCCCATGATAGAACGATAATCCGGCGCCAAGGCAAAATATACCCACTCCAGAAATGAGGGATGCGACGTACTTCGCATTAGTGTACCCATATGGATGAATTGTATCCGCTTTCTGAAGAGAAAAACATTTGATTCAATTTTCGAAATATGGTAAAAATTGCATCTGTCAATCGTGCGTGTATTCATCACACAACTAAGCCTCAACAAAACGCTCAAAAATTCACTTCCTTCAATACTGTACGTTGTTAACGATAATTGCACCACGTTCCAGCAGATCCCGTATTGTATAGCTTCATTTTTCAAATATGATGGTAGTCTTCGAAAAATTAAAATAATTTGAACTAATGATAGTACGTCACTTTCTGATAAACTGACCACATGAACTATCTACGCGGGTGTCCCATTTTGGCGCGAGCTCGGTTATTTCTAGAGTAGGTATTACTACGAAAAATTCGTCTGGCCAGCTGAAAATTGGAATTTCTTTATTTTTCTTTACCATTATCTCAAGGGTAAAAAAGAAAATGGCTAAAACAAAATTCATTTTTTTTAGCTGGCCTTGCACTTTTTTCGGCACTTCACGACGTGGGTGGAGAACTCCGGAAAGTTTTCCCCTACCATGATGCAGTAAATTGAACTGCTTTTAAAAAACTAGAAAAAATCCCATTTTACAAAATCATGTGCTATGTACTAGTACATCAGGTAATTTTTCTACAGTCATACTTACTCTAAAAGTAATCAAGATCGGGTCCCAGTGGGACAACCCTCGTACTGTATTGCACGAGTATATTGAACAATGCACTCAATAAATTCCATACCGTGCCATTTGCAATTTTTTTCATCACCGTCACAGAAAATACATCTTATTTTATAATTAGTGCAGTTTTCAGTTTGACATTTCACTTCTATCTCAAGACAAAACAACTAAGATGCCACCGATACTATGATGCACACACGATTTTCTTTGGCTGATTTAATTTAATGAAGCAAAAAAGCATGTATTCAAGTAACGTATATGGCACGGCAGATTTTCAAGCATTATTAGGACATTCCCAACATTTCATTAAGTCGAAAAATCGTAAATTTTGCGGTGCTTCAATCACGTAGAACAGCGGTACAGTAAGAATAAAGCGAAGTTAAAAATCAACTGAAAATCGGCACGCTTCGAGGGGTTCAGAAAATACGAAAGGCGAACCAGTGCTGAAGTGCAACGACTCTTAAAAATTAATATATCTGAAGAACACTCATCGGAACTTCCGATACTCGACCATGCAAATGATTGTTGGATAAATATTCGTTCAAACAAAACGAACAATTCTTCCCGCCCCTTTTCTAAGCGGAAAATCACTACAAGATCATACTCTTTCTGACTGGTAAATTCCGACGGCGAGAATGCACTGGTTCAGCGTGTCGGCCAACGAATGCAGAGCCTCAGAAAACAAACTGTAAGACCCCGTGTACAGCCAAGCCACTGCTTTGAACACGCAATTCAAACCGTTTCTGCACAGAATCCAAAAGAAAGGAAGTTTCAACAAAAGCCGCGAAAAAGCCAACACGTAAATTCACGAACATTGCAATTGCAGTAAATACTACTCGTTTCGAGCCACGGACTTTCTCCAAGGCGTGCGTCGGACCTTGTTTGGTTCCATCCCCAGCACCGCCAGACTGGTATTCTTTGAGCATCCGCTTGAGATGAAACAGGTCTGCGAAAAGACGAAATTACAGTCAAAACAGCAACAAAAACCTTGACGAATGCTCGTGCGAAGAAATTGACCAACTTTTTTTCCTCAAGGCATAATCTCTGGAACGCTTCAGTCGCTCCTCATCGATCTTCTTCATGTCTCCCCAGACATTCTTCGCCCTTTATTTTTACGAAGAAAAAAACTGTACAAGGAAACGGCAAGAATAATCCCCGAACATCAGAACATGCTGAATTACATACAGCATAATACAGTTGAACCGCGATAACTCGAACCTCCCTACGTCGAATTTTTTTTTCAAGTCCCTGTCTGAATTCCTTTAAAACAATCCTTTAAAACCTCCCGAACCCAAACGGCTTTCCTCCTCGAATCTCCAGAACTCGAATTATCTGGTGGCCTTCTGCTATAATTTCGTTGACACAGCAAAAATAAAAGCAATAAAAACGTAACTTGATATCTTTTGGAAGGAAGTGAAAGATTAAGTGCGCAAATTAACCCTTGCCTCCAAGTTCAGCATCCGGTCGACTTATGTCGGTAACAATTCAAGGCCTAGAATATCACCAATTAAATTTTCCTGAATTTCTTCTTGCTTATTAAAATGAAGTTTATCATTGTATCGTAATGAATCATTAAAATTATCATAAAATTTAATCGTGGAACAGCAAATGGTTCATCATTGCGTGAAATATACAGAAATCAAGAGCGGTAGAGAAGATTATTCTACTGTATTTCACAAGAGAATCGAGCAGGTTCTCAAACAAGCTTTAAAAAAGTTTCCTCCCAAACTCGGCCTTGGCGCGAATAGTACGTGAATTGAAGAAAACTTCTGCATAGGTTTCGAGGGATTACTGAAATTCACTCACCGTTCCTCGACATCTTTCCTCCAAAAAACAACAATAGGCGGTTCAAGTTCGAACGGACTTCTTCGACGGGTCTTCCTTAGACCTTCCAAATCGGACGGTTTCAAGAGGAAATCCGACATTGCTCGAATGGCAGTGATGAAATTTCGATCAACCGACGTACTCGGAAGGGCCTCCATCATTTTTTTCTTCTTAACCTTCGAACCAACGGTTTCCGTAGCTGAAAATCAATCGTAGAGTAATTACCTATGACTTAGACAATTAATCTTCCAGAAAACGGCAAGATTAAACCGCACAGATATTCTTCAGAAAAAAAGTACTATACAGCACACTTTTCCCATTCCCAAAAACATTTTGCGAATAAATTCTATCACTACCGAGGGCGGACAATCCATAATCTCAGGAAATCTGTAAATTACGAATTCGCTGCGTATGCGCATCATCCTTTATTCAGGTATCACGAGCCCTTGAGTAAATATGCACCTTGGTTTCGCAGAGGAAAATGTGGAATGCCTGCATAATGCGCACCCCAGTTTCTGTGATCAATAACAGTACAGTATTCAAATCCGAAATAGATACAAATTTAGATGCTGGACAGAATACAAGTTGAAAATACGAAATAAGGCAAATAGAGAGCAATTTTACTAACCTGTTGAGAATTAAAATGTTTATCCTGTACTCGTAGCCTTTCAAAATCTAAAAAAATGATAATTTCTCGAGGTACCTATCTGATTTTTTTTACAACGAATGTTTTTCTTCATTTTTATTTCGTTCTAAACAAAAGAAATAAAAATAGTTTTGCGGCTATTGAACAGGGACAAGAAGAACATTCGTTGTATGCATTAATTTCTTATGACAAGCTTCGTTGTCACGAAATTCTACTGTATTTTCTTCTTATTTTTCTTGAGGCATCTACAGCAGTATTTTGATTCGTTACAACGAATCAACGAATTTATGCTTACAACAAATTTGTTTTTGGTCCTTGTTTTTATTTTCGTTTACAACGAAGCTTTTCTCAAGTTCCTAAATGCTTTCCTGTAACGAGATTCTACAGTAGTACTCCGTTCGGGAGGCAATCGAGACAGACATTTCCATTTTGAGTGAAATTTTTAAAATTTAAATTACGATTGCTCCATAGAAGTTCGTCGAAGGACTTTCGGTTCGTTGACCAGGATTGACTGCAGAGTACAAACCACTAGTGTTCACAGGATCCGGTGCTTCCTTCCCCTTGGCCTCCTTCACCGGCAAAGCAGCATCGCCAACAGCGAACCCGCATTGCCACACTTTCCACCCACAACGGCGCCGCTCTCGACTCTCCTCCGAATCGAAAAGGGTCGGCGTGGATCGGACGACGAATGCACTGTGTCCGCAACCTGGCTGCAAAAGCGTCGTGCTTCTGAACACTAACGCACTCCCGAGACTCAGTCGGATCCTGAACCGACTCATTTCTTCCTTTCTTTTTTCGTCTTACTTCCGCCTCTCAACACGCCACGGAATCAACACAAAGCGCGTCACACAAAAATGAACAACTTCAAGGCATCATTAAAGAAAAAATCGCTTACACTCCGAATTTCTTTTCCCTTCGGAGAGAAATCGGAAACGCAGAAAAATTGGTAAAGGTCAATTTCACATACTTTGACGATTTATCACTGGGATTCATTCGACACCGCTCTACCTATTTACGGAAGATCGATTAAAATCATTAAATCTTTGCGGCAAGATAATTAAAAACTAAACGGCATCCTTTGCAGTAAAATCTGTGATGATCTTCAAGAAAGCGAAAGACAAGGAAAAGCTACACCAGACCTGGTTCAACAACTTGCGACATTTTGAACAGAGAAATAGAGCTGATGACTAAACATCCCTGAAAATTTACCGGAACGAAATCAAACATTTATTCAACAATTGCATTCTCAATACGGTCGGAAGGAAAAAAATAACCTAGAATAACATCAGCGACTCGCAGTGGGGTCTCATGAAAATGACTCTAAAATTCATTACAGCATACAAGCTTTGGTTCTACATCTGATAAATGCCTAGATGAAAACCACGCCAACAAAAAATTGAGAAGAGAAAAAGGCAAAACATTTTCTACGCGTCGAATTTTTATCTTCACAGCTTCATGCAAAAAAAAAAAAAATCTCGCACACAATAAAAAAAAAGCACGCACAGGCACGCATTTAACACGTACCACTAAACCAGAAACATAATTCGCTTTGACTAGACGCACGAAATTTGCGAAAAATGTCGCTAAATTCTCGACTTGCCGGTAACCCGAACTTAACCTCAGTTCGCAGCGCAGAACAAAATCAGCTCTCAAGCAACTCATCAATAAGCCCCGAAATATCAACCAAGCTCGTGGGTTCTATCCCAATCAAAGAGCATATCTCAACGACAACGTTGGAATAAGAATTCGAAAAAAAAAATTCGCAATGAAAAACAATTCGATGGCACACAGAATAAACTCTCGATGACAACCAAGTCTAAATCGGAAGAGACTAAACCTTTTTTCACGTTAAACCTGTACATCGAAAATGGGAGAAAATTCGATTGCAAAAAAGCTATCAGAAGCAAGATCGTTGAAAATTTATCCTCGAAAAAGGCACTCAACATCCAGCAAGGCATAACCTGATATGACGTCCACAAATTAATGGTCTTCCTCGATGACCGCAAATTGCTAATGAGCAATCTATGATTAATACGAAGCCTGAATTAATCAGTATATGTACAATCGCTTTGCGAGATCGAACAAAAATCGTTATGAACCCATCAAAACTTGTCCACATCACACTCGACTATGAACCAGAAAAACCACAACACAAGAGTACCGAATCGTTTACGGACGAACATGAAAACAAGGTTGTTGATTTGGAAAAAATACGAAAAATTTGAGCAGTTCAAGAAGGCACAACATGAGCATTTAAATCCAGATGAACAGGAATGCTGTGGATGGCTTGGTCACGGCAAGATTAGAGTAAAAGGGACACGCAGCTCAAAAATGTCACCACAAAAACTAATTACCAAAATTATCAAATGGCCTCCGTGAAAGATAACCGATAATGTATACGATGCATTTTGCTGTTCACGTACGTTACGTCGACAGCGTTTTCTAGCAGGTTGATGTCGCTTCTAAGTAAAAAATTGCATGTACTGTATATCGATTTCAGACTGTTATAAATCTATACTCCAAAATCAACTTTCCTCCTCAGAAATCAATGCCTTTTCCTAAATTCCAAGCTTAAGCAGTCATCCTCAAATCAGCTCAATCTAGATTCAAACCTTCAGCAGTTATCTTTCAACGGCCTAGATGCAGAATCAGATTAAATAGACCTTTTAGTAGCTGCTAACACAAACAGCAACAGCTCATTAACTATCAGACAGACTTATACGCATCTAAAAAAACAAGATGACTTCATGATCGTCGTTCTTCATTTTCGAAGAATATAAGAATGAATCAAATTCACAGAGAACGAAGAATCTCATATAGATTCCTCCTGGAAACTGGTTCTTACCGAGGTAAATCGAAAATTTCTGGAAGAATATGAACCTACTTTTGGCAAGGGGAGCAAAAGAATTCGGCGAAATGTAAAACCGAATTGCAGCTAACATCTCACTTGACCTCCCCGGCTAAGAACACGCCTCTTTACGCTTAGACTTCCATTTAGGAAAATTAAGAACTTCGGTCAACTTCCACGACAAAAATGATGACAGCTCTATACTATAAAATTTCATGAACATTTGATTTGGACCGAAGACTCTCCTTCCATTCGGATAAATATAAATCGTATCATAAAAATTCTAAAAACAAGCTGAAACAAAACTTGGCCGAGTCCGTTTCTAACGGGCATTATTTTTTTGCCCGCTTCATAATTTGTATATAAATTTTTGCTCAGCTACCATGAGTGTACCGCGAATCCAGCTGCAAAAGGGAACCTACCATCACCGAAAATACACCGAAAGTGCCACTAAAATAAGGTAGGCTAGGCAAAATCGCGAAGCTGCCATCCGGTTCACACCGGAAAACACAATGGCTGCCTCCTGCGGAATCGTCCTATTCACGATGATCCTCTCGAAATTCTTCAGGCTGCCTCTCAAGTCTAGCATGGCAAATTGCGCAGCGTCCGCAAAAGCGGTGTCACCAGTCGTCATCAGGTCAAACACGCAAGCGTCCAAAAAGCCGTCAGTCAATCCTCTTCTTAAACACAAGGAAGTTGCTTGCTGATCATCGACATTTATTCCAAGCGTCGCCTCTGGACCCGGAAGTTCATCAAGACAGCCACTGACGCAAAGCTCCGTTGTGGTTGCACCTGTAGGCGCCACGACGGCACGTGGCACACGGATCGTCACTGACAGTGACGGGAATTGCTTATCGGTTCCGATTCGACGCAGGGAGACGATCGCACCGGCGTGACGCATGAAAATCTAAAGAGAATATAGGCATATATTTTATGTTTTTTATTGTCAAAAACTCAAGTGAAACAGTCAGGGCGATCATCATAATGCGTAAGTTTTCCTCTTCGGTTCAGACGATTCGTCAAATCACAAGAGATCGTAAGTTTAGATCACGTTGACAGTCAACTTGTAATTCCCACCTTCTAAACAAGCAAAGATTCGTAACAGTCCTATTCCCTCACTTCGAAAGCAGATCTTATACGACCAAACCTCTTAGAGTCAATCTTTAAGGGACCAGCTGAAAAAATTCGTTAGGGAGTTTTCGAGTTGGGGGAGCAAGCAGTTTGTCAGAGGAAAGAAAAAAAGAATTCCAGGAAATCGTAGATCAATCATATTCTCGGCCTTAAATTGCTTCTTGACAGGATTTTGAACTTGAAGGCAAGGATTCATTCGCACAAATAGTCTTTCCCTCCTCGTCAAAACGCATCAGGTTAAATTCTTATTGTTTTTTTTTCTTTCTTCCCCGAGTCAGAAAAACAAAAGGCTTCTTTTGCCCATTATTTTGAAGAAAATTTGAGTTACGGAGGCTTCAGGGGAGAGAATTGAAGTTAGAGAGGTTTTCAATGCGTTGTTTCCAAGGTAAGAAATTTCGACATCGGGAGGTTTGAACTGTCGAGGTTCAACTAATACCAAGGCAAGCGTCGCCTGAATCTCCATCAAAGATTACCAGACCAGAAAACGTTAATTGGCTGAGTCGAATTCTTCTCAGCCGAGTTTGGCCCGTGGAAACGTCACAAATTCTGGCGATCTCCAGATTGCAATCAAGAAACAAAGAAGTTACAGAGGTCAATGAAAAGGCCTCAAAACGTCGCTTAGATTCCTTTGAATATATCGCGGATGCGATTCAAGATTGATTTGTGGAATTACTATCTTTACTGTAATTTCAAGGGAAAATACTGTTGAGATATTAACAATTCATAACCGAAACTGAAATCTGAATGAATTTTCAGCACGGAATCACGCAGAAATCGTCAACTGCGGTTTACACCGCAGCAAAAGAATCTATCAGAAATGGCGGCTGACATTTAAAGGGAAATAAAAAGCAGAGCATGAAAAACAGCACAGGATATTCAATGATGGACGAACCTCGACCTCCCGGCCCTCGACTATTTCCTTGACCACGACCGATTTGTCGGCACCGGCAAAAATGGTTCCGTCATTGAAAACATTCGGCAACGCGTCAGACGACGCTTCATAAGTCAACTGTGGCCCACACTCCCCAGCGTCTTTCACAATCACCGTTGCTCGCGTCACGGCTGTCGAGCGACAGGTGCTGCAAACTCTTGCACTCGTAACCTTGTGAAGAAAGAGATATCGTAGTTTCAAATAGAACCCAGTGATACAAACCATGAATGCATCAAAATTATACTTTGCCAATTAAGTATGCTCGCGTGGCTTTCACATTAAATATTGCATCAAGTTCACATGCTCGAACTATATTTTTTTCAACATAAGCGAGTTTAAAAAATGATGACTAATCTAGAGAGAACGAGGCCTATTTGCCAACTTCAAGAGAAAACACACAGGGTGCGCCAAAAAAAAAAAAAAACGTTGCAGTTTACGTCACTCTTTTTACATTTTCAAAATGTAACCCTTCTGAAGCCCACAGAAAGGTGAGCATTGGAATCAAGCACGATTATTGAGAGACAAGAAAGGTGGAAAAAATGGTTCAACCAGGATTTTGTAAAAAAAAAAAAAGAATTGATTATCCTACAAAAATTCCACCCAGGATCTAGTGAAATTCATTAATTTATCATACTTAATGAGAACAAAAAAGACACGACAAACGAAACGAGTTCAATTTATATTGTGACATTCAGTAAAACCTACACACACCAGGGAATTTAGTCACTGTAGTCAACGAAGTGGAAAACTTTCCTATGAGCTACAACGATCAATTTCTTACAGCAAAATAACTTCATGAACACATTATGTTATCAATGGCGTTTCTGGAAATGTAATTAAAGATCCGAGTAGCAACGGTTGCAAGGGACGAAAAGCGAAGAAAGTTTTGTCATTTTTTGAAAATAGAAACAGGTAATAACAGGCAATCGATGCAGAGGGCTGAACCTGGACAATGTTCTCAAGCTGGAATACATTTTTGAACCTGCGGGTTTTCTAGGTTGAATTCGGACATGAATAGTTCTTATTGAAGCAAAAAAAAGAGAAGGTTTGAAAATAGAACAGTAAACGTAGCAACATTACCCAAAAAGAGCAAAATCAAACGCTCTTCACAAATGGGTTCCCCAGCAGAACGGGAAACCTTCGAACTGTTGAACAAAAAAAGTTGAATTGCCAACCTGCACGGCGAAAAACTCGGTGTCAACCAGGGGCCACGCTCCTTCGGCTCCGCAGCTACGGAATTTTTCGTCGAAACCCAGCAAATGCGGGTCTCCGAACAAGGCACAAAACTCCTCGTCGCGATCATCTTCGCCGCCAAGCTCTGGCGCTACAAATGTGCACTTGAGCCTCCTTCCGGACACTCCCGGACCCAAAACAAGATTAGAAGTGTTCACGTTGGTACACCCGAACTCTTCCCGCAATCCCCGAAGAAATTTCTGCGCCGAACGAAAATTCAAGTCGGCGTAACACGACCCCGCAGTCGCTTCCAGGCATTTGTAACAGTCGATAATTAGGCGACAGAATGGCGGAAGCAGGAGAGTGCGTTGTGTGGCTTCACGCATTATGCTTCCGGCGGAGCTGAAATCCACCGACTCAAACTCTGGCCCGAGTCCAGGCAGCGCCTCCACGAGACCGGATATGCACGTATCCATTTGGCACTGGCCAGAAACTAAAACAAATAATTTCAGAACGAAGAATCTTAAAAGAAAGATAGAAAGAACTGTGATACATTTTCAAATCTTTCCGTTTTATCGGAAAACTCCAAAGGTGCATCAATCAATCTCCATTCCTTCTCGGGGATTTGATGAAGTTTGCTCCAAGTTCACACTACTGTATTAGCACTCCGGAAAATAATTATAGTAGATTAAAAAATTAATCTAAAAAACCACGTTTTCAAAAAGCAAAAAATAACCTTAAACGTGGTGCGCATCTATTTCATTTGTATTTCACTTCTTCCCAACAATCTCCATGCGCACCACGTTTAAGGTTATTTTTTGCTTTTTGAAAACGTGGTTTTTTAGATTAATTTTTTAATCTACTATAATTATTTTATTCTTTTTAAAAAATATTCTTAAAATTTATTTTTTCACAAAAGATTGCATTGTCATCAGTTTCTAGGCTATCCTGAAAGTTTCAGCTTGATAGCTAGTCGGGAAGTGAGTGAAATTTGAGTTTCAAAATTTGATCCGGACAAACAAACAGACAAGAAAGTGAGTTAATAAAAACGTGTTAATTAATTAGAAAAAAAAATGTTCCAGGGGGTGGGATTGAACTCGGACCTCTGCGACCAATTCAGTTCACCATGGGTTTTTTTCTTGGGGCCAAGGAAAACCTGCTCAAAGTTTTATTATAGAAATCTACTATAATTATTTTATTCTTTTTAAAAAATATTCTTAAAATTAATTTTTTCACAAAAGATTGCATTGTCATCAGTTTCTAGGCTATCCTGAAAGTTTCAGCTTGATAGCTAGTCTGGAAGTGAGTGAAATTTGAGTTTCAAAATTTGATCCGGACAAACAGACAGACAAGAAAGTGAGTTCATAAAAACGTGGTAAAAAAAAACCTACTATAACTACCCACACTCACCTGAGCTAACAAAACCTGTCATATTCGGAGCTTCCACAACATTTACAAACCAGAAAAAAACCAACTTCAACATCAAAATAAATTCAGTCGACACCGATACGCTGATAATTTAAACCCTGACTTTACAGAAGTAATAAATTGCAATAAAAATATCTCGATTTTCGATTATTATTTTCATGGAGGGGCGTCAGAGTTCTGGTCGAAGTTTAAAAAATATGAACTGCTTAATTAGCAGTTTCAAATTGTACGAAAATTTATAAGGAGCAGTGAAGTATAGTATTCGTTTTCCTCGCACTTTCTGTTCGACTCTCTACGGTTATAAACACATCTCAAGAATCAAAGATGCGGTCGAAGAATTAGGCCCATGAATTGAAGGATGGCACGAATTACGATTTCGGCACTTCAGTTTTTGAACCACGATCAACACTTGAAAACGAAATTTACAATCAATTTATAATTCAGAGGAATCATTTCGGTTCGATTTATTTTTGGAAACTTGATCTCACCAACAATTTAAGGATATCTCAAATACAAATTCAACTTCGCAATGAGGCAAAGGTGGACGGATTACGGTGGATGCATTGGTGGTCTTCTTACCTACTCTTTCACCATACTGTTTACCGAATTGGACGCAGAGAAAACCTGTTGATGTGAATGTGATTCAATTTTTGTGCATTATGGTCTGATCATTGACGCATACATAGAATAAAGTTCGAAATACAGTAGCAAAAAATCGTTTCGTGCGCAAGTATCAGATACCCCTCCCACGAATATCGCCATCGACACCAATCATCTCGAGTTTTTCTCACCTGGACAAACGAGGATCATGACGCAGAAAACGGCAGCCACTAAGCAGCTAAATAAAGACTTCCGGCGTCTTTTCCGCCGCCACACGCGGCGACACGCAATGTCCATGTCGGTCACCTCATTTTACAAACGCTCGCTTTCGAACACTCCCGAGACTTCAAAAGAATAAGCATAGTCATTCGATCGGCACCTGTGAATTGGAAGCAAATGATTGAATGCGAGTGTTCGTACAAACTCACGTCAAATGCCACAAGAACTTGCTGCGTTTCGTTTTTCTTTTCTTAAGCAAAGCTAACAAAACTGTCTATGATGCCTCAAAACTTATGTCGAAGCAATCAACACTCGAGAAGAATGAGGACGAATCCAAAATGGCATCAAATTGAAATGCTCTAACGAACAAACGCTGGAAGAGAGAAGGGTACTCGTCAACGAACGAAGTTTCGGGATAACCTCAAGAAGCAAAACCGTGGTATATAGTCGCGGTTTTTTTTATCACAACAGATTTTTCACGAAATAAAATGCGGCATTTTGACAGCCTCTGATCAACGCGATCTGTGAACGTAACGCATGATGCCCAAGGCAATGGCAATACCCGCAGCCGCACCAAAACCCAGCTTGAGCCATGAGGTAAACGTGAGATTGGACAAGTCGAGCGTCCTGAGGTGCCTGGAAAATACGCAAAGCAAAACAATCAGCTGCGGCTTCTGTGGACAGATGAGAAGTACAGGACTGTACTTTCAAACGCTATCAGACCACACAAAAACTGTCATCAGGTAGAACTCTTTACTTCAGCTTCTTCAGAAGGCTGTATCCAATGTTCCAGTTCACACACAAAATTTGCCAAACGTAAATGATATTCGTACAGTACAGTATCATGTAACTCATCTTCTTTGAAAAATTGGAAGAGACAAAAAAACCCGTGCCGCCAATTTTTGGCCGCAAAGGACTACCTTGCAAGGCTTGAAGATGAGAAAAGAAAATGACTTCTCCATTGACGAATTCATGAATTTCAGAGCATACTACAGCCGGTTGCAATCACATGCAATAATTTTGAGGCACTGTATCTTTGCAAGCGCCAGAGGAAGGCGCGTTTTTTTTCGGAATCCCAAAAAAAAAAAAGTTTATTTCAGAACCTCTCCTTGTCTGAGAACATTTGAAAACGCTTTCGTACGTTAAATAGGCAAGAACACGACATCCTCGAAGAACACTCAAGGCAAAAAAGACTGCAATCCATATTAGCTTTCACACACACTGACTGCTGAAGCAGTTCAACAAGTTAAAAATCTAAACTTTCATCTGAAGACGTTTGATATGGCGATTTTTTTACTTCCACCGACGAGAACTACAGTACTTGAAGTCGGATAGATTAGTTCACAATCATTCAAGAACTTTAGCATGCGAAAGCGGACAAATACTCAAATTCTAACAGGGTTCCATAAATTAACATGCCAATGATTTCGCAATACCAACACCAAACTAGCCTGGTTTGATACGCTTACACACAATTACGAACTAAATTGTGAATTAGATTCAACCGCATGAAAAGAGGGGCAATGTGAGTAAATGCTTATGCAAATCGAAACTGAAAAATTTAAGAACAAACCAAGACGCGTAAGTAAGCCAGTCGACGGAAGTGCTCCTGACGAACAGCATATGGACCAACTTCCTCATTGACCTTAACCCATTTTAAATGAAATATAGAACGATTCAACTCAAGCATCGATGGGGGATACATGGCGCTAAAAACTTCGTCCCAGCACTTCGTGACTTATCTTAGAAATATTATACGAACCTTCTTCCCCCAAAAAACGTCCAGGAGGCCTTAAATTTTCTTCGGAGTCCAAGGCGGCGGAAAATTAAAGAAAGAATTCCACGAAATGTGAATATACTTTTCGGGATTTTAGTTTACAAGTGCCGGGTTTTCTTAAACGAGGGACGATACTTACGGATAAGATGCCATCGTTGCTAATTTTAGGAATACATCCCGGGAAATCGGATGTGGACGGCTTGCCGAATATGTTTGCAGGGGAGGTAGGTTGTACTTCGTGCAGAAGTCCTCTGGGGTGAGGAAATAATTCTGCGGAGCTCGCTCAAGATCGGCCTTGGTTCCAACCAACAGACAGGGGATTCCCTTATCACTGAAGTATTTCTGAAAATGAAAAAAAAAATACTGTAAATGGAAGAATAAAACGTAATGCTGGAATTACTTACGATATAAATCTTCGCTATGAACTGGAAAGACTTGGGATCCGAAGTATCATAAACCAGACAAGCCACATCACAATTAATCTCATCTGGGTTCAAAGCGTCGGAAGTGTTGTAAACATCGATGTCCCTCAAAATCAAGTACTTTTCTTGGCCATACACACTCAATGCATTGACGATGTACTTCGGAGCTTCTGATCCACCTCCAGCCATGTCACCAAACTGACCTATCTTGTCAAGACTCGTAGTTGAACTCGCTCGAGAGAGCATCCCGAAACTTTTTATATCCTGCGTGAAAAGAACAAAAAAAATTCAAATACCAGCACTGTGCATCCGGAAATTAATTCTTGAAAGATAAAATTAAGAACGGACTGTCTATTTGAATATCACATTAAAATAATCGTATTATTGAATTTTGCCGTCGGCAGCATCTGTGGAAGAGATCATTTTCCACTACACCGATAACTTCGTTGGAGAGTTAGACTCTTATCAGAGTTCCATTTCTTGCTTGGACAGAACGACAGGCTTTTGTAATTCATCTCATGGAGGCCCAATTTCTTCGAGTAAACTGAGATACTGTACAACATAACTTGCGGCATTGTATATCTTTGATAAGGCAATACAATTTTCAACGAAGAATTTCTCACAATCACTTCATGAGCGCAACTCTAACCACAGAAAGACATCTCCGCCCTCCAATAATGTACCCTTAATTGAACTAGCGTAACTTGGCAGAAATTAAACACACTTCCCTCAGGCCTTCAAGTAAACACAATTTAGATTAGTCATTCAAAAAATCTAATTAAACTTCCACAAAAAAAAAAAACAGAACTCACGGAGAGATTCCGTTTGAGCAATCCTTGGCAAAATGAGGACTTCCCTGCACCGTGCTGTCCGATCACGTGACAGAGGAAAACACCTCGATTGGTTTGCTTCTTCTGAGCATCCAAGTGCTTTTCTCGGGTCACCTTGACGGCTTGAGTTTGATTGTTATTTTCATTGATGGGATAACCAAGGTATGCAAGGTACAGCATTGTTTCTCTGACGTCGAGATAAGTAGTAAGTATCCATTTGGCAAGAAATCCCGGCAAAGTTATCCACCCCTGATGACCGAAAATATATATTATCTGAATACATTCAAATCACGGAACTGATTTTCAATCATCAGTTCCAAGATGAAGCTATTGTCGAGCGCCGGACATTACTGGTTCAATCAATTGTGAAGCCAATCAACAGTGTTCAACTTCAGATTCATTGGGGGCTAGCAAAGCGAATGTAGCATATCAATTCGAGCTCTTATAAACTTAAAATCATTTCCGATTTTTCATTTGTGCAAATAATCCGAATGTAAAAAATGTACTAAAAAAATGATGCTGCGTGTTGTCCATTTGCTGCGCGTTGAAAAATCAACATCCGATAAAGCGCGATAACTTTTTATCCGGGCAAAGGCACCCTGGTAATTGGAAGCGTGTCCTCAAATAAATTCTCAAATGCACGGCGGATGAATCGAAGGTAAAACTTTAAAACTCAGGAAGTTTGTGGATAAATCAAAAGATTAAATCTTGAATTTTCTTTCTCGACGTTATAAAAAAATGTATCAGCCTTTCCTTTTATAACTTGCAATTGAGCTCATTCATGAAGCAGTGGCGCGAGCGAATTTCCTCACCTTATCGTTCGTTGGCACAGACCATGCCACGTCCGATCCCCACGGATTCGACGGGCACAACGAGAACAACTCATTCAACTCTGAAGGACACAGGGATCCATCCCTATCTCTATCGAACCTTTCGAATAAAGCTACAAGAAACTGCGTCCCAGCCGGTGACAACTCTGTGGAAGCTCCAGGAGGAATCATCAGGCCGGGATTCAAGTATTCGGCACCCAAACCCAGCCTCAAGTTATAGCCGAACTTTTTCAAAACAGTCCATATAGTTTGATGCTTTCCCCGCAGAATGAAAAGGCAGTTGAGGAAGAGGAAGCCGTCGAGGGTGAGGCAGTTTTTGTGCACGCCATCTGGCAATTGGCGCTTCACTGTTTCTTTGACTTCTTCAAGGGCTGAAGGAGACACAGGGGCATTGAAGCAATGCTTTTGAAAAGCGTTCAGCTCGACATCATTCAGCAAGCCATCGTTGTCCACGTCACAGATCTGAATGAAGAGGAAACTTGAAATCATAAGATGATTTTGAATCGTGCGTGGCGACCGAAGACCACAAATTAAACAGAATCAATTCGATTCAGAAAATTGTCATGAAGCAAATTTCTCGATAATACCCCATACTCGACTGGCTGTTCAAGGATTTCACTCGCAGGGTATGTTTTTTTTTTTAGATTTCCCCAAAGAAACTACAGTCCTTCGAGATATTTCATGTTCAAGAATTAAATTAATGGACTGAACTACCGAAATTCGAGCACAATTGAGACCTCGACTGTTTCGCAACCCTGAAGATCTTCAGAATTTCCTATGCTAGCCGTGAAGAGTCTTTATGGATGCACGGACACTGCTTTGAAAGTGATCTATGCCTAGATTAGCACTTTTTACTCCCAAAATCACACGGGGAAAATGCACTAACCTTAAATACTCTAGTAAGAGCTTTCTTGGCCTTTTCAGTTAGGCATCGTTCTTCTACTTGATACAAAGGTGCAGTTGGATGCAATACTGCCTTTTGCGCATAATAGAACAACTCTGAAATATTCCTCAAAGTCTTGGCAGAGCACTCGACACAGGTTTCGATTTCTCTATGCGCTCGCATCAAGTCGTTGACGTCATCGATTGTGGAATCCGTCACCAAGTCTGACTTGTTCCCGACTAAAACCACCGGTGTGGTGTGTTCGTTGCCTAAAACCATGTGCAACAGAGGAATCCAGCGATCTGAAGCAGACTGCAGGGTGGAGTAGTCGTCGACAGCGTAAACTATGCAGATCACGTCGGCGCGGTGAATTTCTTGTATCAGCTGGTCCTCTGACTGTTCCTTGGCTGAAAAAATATTCAAGAAAAAATTGAATCCAAAAAATTTTTTGTTTCACTGTTCCGAGATTGGCAGTGGGACTTGATATTAGTTCTTTCCAATTGAACGCATGGAATTCGCGTCTTTCTTTCCCAAGTTGTTCTCGACTGAACAACGTTGAATTTTATTCGGTCAGGCCAAACTGAAGTAATTTTAATTAGATGCAAATTAATTAGCTTATTTTTGGTCAAGTAAATAGCTTATACTGTATCAGTTGAGGTTCCGTTTCGGTTCCTGTACTGCATCCGGTTAGTTCTTCAGCTTTTTCAGGCGATATACAGTGAGAACACTACCGAACACAATCGGAAATTCGGACGAAGATAACTCGAACATCTCGCAGCAACTTTTAAGAAAAACTATTCTAGATTTAGTCTTTGTTATTTATTCATTTCTACAAGAGCATAGACAGTTAACCGTTCAATCAAGCAGAGCACACGAACGGATCACGAAGTATTGATCTTAAAACTACTTTCAGCGTTACACCTTCTCGCCAAAAATGAAATGCTGCTCGACGAAAATGAAAAAAAAACCCACCACAATAATCAGTTATCGATGTAGCAACGTATTCTGGCGTTACTTCCGGGGGAATAATGATTTGTTCCACTCGAGCCGGAACATCTTTCGTGAATTCCTCACTGACTAACGTGAGGATCAAAGACGTCTTCCCAACGCCACCTGCAAAAATTATTATTTAACTCATTCATTCGTGATGATCGCGAATTATAAAGCAAAACTTACTATCGCCGACCAGCAAAATGTTGATCGTGCTGCGGAAGTCCGCACAATCGCGCACCATCTTCACTTTCACAGCACACAATCAAAAATTAACAAAACTGTTCTGCGGAAGAGAAAAAATACCCCTAATAAAAATAAAAAGACAAGAAGTCGCTCCAGAAATGACAACATAAACACGTGCGAATAGTTTATGCGGACGTTTTCGTTCACAGAGGTGCATACAGCACAATCACAATAGTTGCAGTAATTTGAGATCTCGGGCTTCCTATTGAATAGCGACAAAAAAAAAAACAGACTCAGGATCTCACACAGTGCGCTCAAAACGACTAGGTAATCACACCCAATTTTCAGATAGCAACTGCAATCTTAGAGGTTCAGATTCCACCACGAGTCATGGCCTCTTGCAAGATCTTATTATACTCCTTCAAGGCAGAAAATACCTTAGCTTTAATAGCTCCAACGTTAGCTTCGGCTTGCTTGACTCTAATTGCCGACCTCACAGCATAGTTGTTCTGTTCCAAATTACCCCATTTTCTTTCCAGGTTTCGCAATTGAGCGTAAGTTTCATTTTCCTCCAGAGATTTCTGCAAAGATAGATTGAACATGAAAAATGATTAAATACATCATTTGATAAACATTGGCAATATATTAAACTTGCACTTTGAAATAAGCGGTCGGAGCAGAAAATTAGGATTTGGGAATACGGTAGTTTCAGGAATACCCATCCCCTTATGCAGTAATTATTTCAGAATTTTCAGCGAATTGATAACATTTTCTCGAATGGAAAATTTAGATGCACAGCGGCGCAATGATGCACATAAAATATGCCCTCACAATATTCGTTAGTTAGTCCTCGTTAAAAAATGTAAACCAGTAACTTGACGCATGAAATATGAAAATAAAACGAACCACGAACCTTCAAACGCTCATGCTCAGCATGTAATTCTTTTACTGCAAGACTGGACGCCTTATATTCTTTTTCCAAATCTGCGAGTTCCTGGGATAGCTCATTTTCTTTGTCTTCCGCGTCACGTTTCAGTACTTCGGGTCTTGAATAGACCGCCATTTCATCAATCATTGCTTGTCTCTTTTCCTTCAACTGTGCCATTTCTGTGGTGACCTTTTCTTCCAGCGCCTCAATCTTTTCTAAATTGCTCTGGAGCTGAGCTTTTTCCTGAGCGAGCCCTTCGACAGTTGATCGGGATTTTCGCAACTCTCCTTCTTTGAAAGCCAAATCGTCTTTCATGTCTGAGAAATCCTTCGGGTTCGGAAGTCGATCGACCATCGCCATAGCACGCGCTAAACGTTCTAGCAATTGCACAACACTGGCTTCCAACTTTCCTAGTTTTGCGGCTTCTTCCAACTTTGACGTGTCGAAGTTCTCCAAAAATTGATCCATAGTTTCTTCGCGTTTGCGGAGTTCACGGTACTTATGGCTCCGCTCACTTTGGGACTCTTCAATATCAGCATCCAGTTGGGAAATCTCGTCTTTTATGGAACGGATTTCTTCGGAGAGAGCTGATGCCTGACGATCCATGGCGGCGATTTCCGCGTTGTCATCCTTCACCTGTCGCAGGAGGCGCTCACGTTCTTGAGCGGGAGTTCCGCGGGCGTCATTTTCTGCCGTGACTCGACGCAAGTCCTCTTCTGCTTCAGCCAATTGTTCGTAAAGCTTTACAACATCTTGCTTCACATGCGACATCGACAGTTCCCCTGAATCACAATTGAAGTGAGAGAGAAATGCACAATTACGTTCATCAAAAGCTGGCTCCGCCTTCGTAATATTTTGATGCCCCTCTGCAGCAAAAACTATACCACCGAAGTACTAAGCAAACTAGAACAGTCTAGGACTCCAGGATACGGTCAGAAAGATAAATACCCTGATCTCAACCCAAGCATAACATTTTACCTTAGATGTATGTCCACAGTTGCGAATATCCATGCAGCACTGCACGAGCCGCCTCGGCAGAACTGATTCGTAAACGTTGAAAAAATATTGTAGCAAGAATTTTCTTGCATCTAAAAACTTAGCATTGACATAAGAATTACAAAAATTCTCTCTCGTCCATTTTCTCTTCGATTATACAGGGATCTGCTTTGAACAAATGCACGCACACACACTTACCTAACGAGCAATATGGAAAAACATTCAGATCATTCATCCCTGCCCTCCACAAAGGTACTGGCTTATCTGTCTCTTCTCGATGCATAAATGTCATTGTCAAGTTTCCCACGCTTCCTGGTTCACTCAGAAATAAACTTCTGCGTTACCAAATTTAATGTTTTGATTTCCCCTTATTTCTTGAAAATTCAAGGTATCTACAAACCTTTAAAAAGGGACTAATCATCGACGAGGAGAATCAATTTTCCAACTAACCAGATTATGCCCCATCAAGATACGCATACTTTCTACTTCAGTTCACAAACGCCCAGACAAAAAAAAAAAAAAAACTCTCATCTGTAAAAATTCCAGTAACTGGACCTTCATCACCTAACGGCTGAAGGAGGACTCATTCCAAAAAAATATGCTAACCTTCTACTTGCGCCTTTCGAGCGTTCAATGCATCTAGTTCCTGCTGCAAGGTATCAAAACGGGCAAGAAAACTTGAATTCGCAGCTTGTAACGAAGAGTACTGCTCCCGAGCACGGGGATCCATGGAGCCGATTAAATTGTCCGCCAGATTTCGTTCTTGTTCAATTTCTGCCTCTAGAGCTCGAATAATCTTTTCTTTGTTCTGCTTTTCCGCGAAAATTTCATCCACAGCTGCAGCTTCGGCGTTGTTTTGAGCTTTCAAGTCGTTCACTTCGGATTGAATTTCTTCGATTTCCGAGTCCATGTTCAGTTTGTCCACAAGCAGATTGTAGTCAGCAAGTTCCCCTTGCAATTCTATATTTCAGAATACCATAATGTGACGTCATGTTTTCCGTATCACGTAGGTGAGGGTTAAAAACCTTAAAAACGTTCCTTTAGTGTGACTGCGAAAGTTTCCTCTCCACAAGTAATCAATGCAACGGAAAAATTAATTTAGATAAATGAAGGAGACAGGAAAATTATTATAACTTTGTATAGGAAAATATAGATAAAAATCTTCACGAACCATTCCATTCTCCAGCTAGCTCTTTCACTCGTTTATCGTAGATTAAATAAGTGGACTGCTCCTTGGAGAAATCGTCGATTTCCTTGGACATCTTCGTGATTTCTGATTGCAGCTCATTCGTTTTCGTTCTCAGTAGTCCCATAAAATAGCTCTTGTCTTGAACTTGACGATTTGGACCTCTTCCGGTTTTTCCGGCAGTTTTCAATCCACCTAGTCCTTGCTGGGTGATTGGTCGGTCAACAACGTTAACTTGGGCTGTCACGATTCCTGAATTCTGACCAGAAGCTGTAGCAGTTCTTTGGAGCATGGCGGTCGTGAGTCTTGTAGCAGTTCCGAGTCTGGCTGAATTTTGCCCCGTTACAGGACGCTGACCGACGGATGTTCCCTATGACAAACGCACAATGTTCATTCGGCGACGACAGACAGAAGAGTGCCGACATGAAAAGCTACCATGCCCACCTGTTGAATTGGGTCAAATTTATATCTCTCCTGGAACTTCCCCATTATTCTCTCTAATAGAAAATACAGAGATTTAAAATTTTGAAGTATCTTGTGCTTCTTTCAAACATGGTGTACATACATTCAATATCTTACGGATAATTTCTAAAGGAAATAAGGTGGTCTGAAAAATCAGCCCTCACGGGAATCTTCTGAGAGAATCGCGACTGAAAATAGAACTGACCTGTCGAGTGCCAGGTCGAACTCCGCCCATTCCACGAGAGGTAGTTGGACGATCCATTTGACCTCTTCCGACCGTTCCGGGACGCTCCAAGCCCTCTAAGTTCCCCTGAAATTCATCAGATCGTCTCATTCCACTGCGAAATCTTCCAGATTGACCCCTGCTTGTTGATGGGCGAGTGTCGTTTATGACAGAATTCATAAAATCTTCATCAGGGTCCGCTGCGATGTTGCTTCCTCGAGTAGCCGGTCTGCGCAAAAATCGGATATTCGAAGATGGTGAATTCAAAAAACGTAATTCGTGTGTTCAGGGCAAAAACCGCACGGATAAAGTGTTATACTGTACTCGAACGTTTGTGAAAACGACTACGAAGCATTCGAACGAAGTTCTATGAACATTACAAACCTATCATATGATTAATAGGAAACAGACGAACCTCGTCAAAATACGACCACTTGTTTGTGGTCGAGATCCGATTCCACCAGTCGACGGTCGTCCGAATCCACCTGAAATTCATTCCAAACCACAATACATCTCCATACGCTCCGATCGCAGCTTCCGTGACTACAAACCAGGATCTCCGTAACCAGTAATGGGGCGGATTTCGTCTCTTTCATCTGTTAATTCCGAAAATCCGACCGAACCCTGTATTCGTGAGAGTTGCGTGGGTGGCCGATTCATACCAGTGGATGGTCTGTTCATCCCGGTCAACAAACGGTCACCGCTTGACATGGGTGGCACGTCCTCCGACGGGTCATTTCTTGATTGACGCGTAACAGGACGAATGTTCGCCCCAGTAAATGGACGGACATCACTCTCACTCGGTACGTCATCGTCTAAATCCATCTTACAGTCCTACTCGGAGAAGAAGCGTTTTAAGAACAATCCCTAGTTACCGCATGGTCACACTTGGAGCATTCTTCAAAATCCAATCAACGCAATGAACAAGAGCAACGCTTCCTATAATACGGCAACGTGACTTAAAAATCGGATGGTCTTGAGCTTTCAATTCCTAGAGATCCGGAAGGTTTCCCTCGATCGGCACCGAAAATAACACTCAATAGAGTACATTATGTACTTGTTTTAATAAATTCTCATTGATAGATCATCGTAGTCGTTCAATAAATTTTGGAGGCTCACGGGACTGCGTTTGCTGGGTGGCTCCCTTAACAAACGAGCATCAAGCTCAAGAGTTTTCTGGAGTATTGCTAGATGTCAGTTCTGTACAGCATATGACCACATATGGTATCATACTTTTTTAGTACTGTATTCTAAAATGAAAAATGTTGCCATACCTAAGGTACTGTAGTTGAAGACGATGGTACTGTATATTCTGTGGTACTGATCTGATGAACAGTACAGTATATAACTGATGCAGTGAGATGACGCGACGTAGTCTACCATTGCATGATCATGGATGACTCATAAATTTCACTTGATGAACATACATCAGTATAGTGCTAGCATTTGATGATCATACATGCAAGGCTTTATATACAAAGGAAACATTTTGTTTCCGCAAAATATTCTGTAATATATTCAGTATTATTGATTGTACGAACAAAATCGGTGTATGGATACAGCTCATAAAGTAAAAGTTTCTTTTGGATTAAAGATGCATTATTTTTTCAGCGAAACTGCAGCTGGAACAGTGAAGAGAAAAAAGCTGTGCTAGCAGGACAGGTACGACAGCAGCCGTCATGCATCAATGATGTACGTATGACCTGAACGGAAGCACAGTCGTAATGTGCTCATGTCTGCCAAAATTCGACCAGATCGAGCATATAGCCCCCGAATAATAACGATCTACACTGCAAAATTAATAAGAAAGAGCCCTGCACTCGCGTGCAGAAATTCCATTGCTCTTTTCCCCCATCCATTTACTTCAAAATGCTTCTCCAGCAGCACATGCATTGCTGACCTGAGGACTCGATCCATTACGTCAAATTTATTGCTTGTTTGAAATGTGGGTGGACCCCATCACCACAACAGTTCTCGGTATGGTGCATGTGAAATGGAGTCTCAAGTTTCTTTTGAAAGACTTTGATCATCGCGATTCATTTTTTACATCAGTAAATCTAAATATGCCTGAGCTCTTATATTCAGTGCATCGTACCTATTCTTTTATAAAAACACTTACACGCAGCACCATATATGAGCAAGCATAAGTTGTAAAGATGAATAACATGTTGAAAACGGAAACTGGCATGAGACAATAAAAATGCAGTGGAGAAAAATACAAAATTTGTTTGCGGAAAAACATGAACTTGAGGTTTGATAGTAATTAAACAAATCGATTACAATTTGAAAAACTGATACATGCATCATTTGCTGTACATCGCAGCCACTTTTTCATCCATTATTACATGTCTCTCTCTCTCCCTCTCTCTTTCTCTCTCTTTCTCTCTCTCTCTCTATCCCTGTATGTTTTTTCGTATTTGTCTTTCTCCTCTGCTTCTATCTCTATCTGCATTCTTGCCTGTTTTGATGCGCTCTTTATTCTCACTTTTGCTCTCGTTCTCTCTCATCCCTTCATCTCTGTCTTTCTCAGAAAGACCACTCCTTATTTTGTTCCTCCATCTGTATCGCTCAAACATCTGTTATTGCGAGTCTATACTCATATGAAAAGTATAAGATAAACATTTGTACTTGCCCGTTCTTTCAAGACCATATGAGATATGCTCTTGAAAACTAGCACTTCCATTTCCTCTCCAGAAATAAATTCCCAGCTTCATATATAGCAGTATGGTTCAATATTCTCGATAACTTATCAATTTTCACCAAGTCTTCACCATCATGAATACACTCAGAGAAATCCTGTGGTGGATAACATCATAACATGCAAACGTGGAATGACAATTATTGATCAAAGTCGCTGTCGTCAACTTTGAGCAAAAAATAAAAGTAAAATAAGCTAGGATGCCGTTGTACTGTATGTTAAAATTGCGCAATTTCTTTATCGGTCGTCGGCACCCCTATGGGCTGATCAATAATAATAAAAAATAAAACAAAAACTGACGTAACTCTTCGATGTTACAAGCGCAATTTGTAATGGTTATTATTGGTTTCAGATGCGGTACTTTCCTCGATTTGTTCATTTACATTTCATTATACCGGTCAAGATTTTTGAAAATTAGGTTCGAAGGAAAGATTGTCTTCCAATCTTATACTATATAAGAATATACCCGCTGCTTGAGTTAACAGTAAAACTTGACACATACTTCTTAATTTACACAGTTATTGAATGGAGTATTTCAATTTGTCTTTTGTTTCATTGAAAAAAACGGGGTTTCGATCATTTTTGAGGGACGGGTAGAATATTGAATTTCGTGAGAAAAGATTAAGTTATAATCCGGTTATTATGTAATACAATACGCAGAAGTTCCTTGAATTTTTTTCTTTCCAAAGGTGAGAGCGCATTCATCAAGCACTTCTTTAAAATTTGGTCATAAAATGTAAAATATTTCTTTAAAATTTCCGTTATTCAAAGGCTTTCTCCCGCGCAAACCTCCATAACTCGAATTTTCTGGAGCCGTTTGCTAAGTATTTAATTTACTCAGAAAAGATGATATATAGCTCCACAAAAAAAAACTCTCTGCATTTTGAAAGGAATTGAAGGGATAACTTGGCAAATGAACCCCTGTCCCCAGCAGGTTCCGCAGTCTGTCGCTATATATAATGTAAACTCATTCAAGAAATAGTTCAAGGCCCAGAATATCACCATCAATTTCAATTTCCTGCATAATCCTCAATTCCTTCGAACAAAAATGCTGCTTTCTCTGACTCGGAAATTTGTAGGGTCCCTTGAAATTCGACTTATAGAGAGGCTTGACTGATTCACCGTATATGGATTTTTATAGTGCAGTACTGTATACTGATGGATGACGAAGAAGCCTCACATATAAGGCTAATATCAGTTTCCGCCTTGGATCTCTCGCGCAGTACGTGTTTCAACGGAGAGTCGTACAGTAAATAGCAAACTACTGTACGCAGCACTGTTCTGTATTTTCAAGTTCAGGGTCGCACATGGGCGTTGAACGAGCTAACTCCAGCACGAATCAATCGCAACTTAAATTTAGAATAAAACCCAGAGTTTCCAATGTTTGGACAGACTCTCCGACAAATTCAGGAAACCTATGGGCTTCCTTTCTCCACAAACACCCGGGTGAAGGTAATCATCATATTTTTGGAGTCAAGCCAGCGATTTTCTTTTTTCTTTCCCCTGCGAAGCCCCGTGACGAAAACCGGCGCAAAAGTGGGCTTCGCGTGCCAGTCTCCTCGCTACTTGCGATCCGCATCGTGTGTGCTGTGGCTTCCTCCGCGAAAATAATCGACTTTTCGTCCATTTGCGTCAAGTGTCTTCAGGATGAGTCTTAACTCTTGATAAGTGAAAGTCCAAAGCCTTGCAGATTCTTTTTGCAGAGGGAAGGAAATGTGTTTCAGATTCTCGATTTAACGCGTGTACAATCAATAGTCAACAGTGTTCATACAATTTCATGTAGACCCGTGCATATACCGTACAGTATATATACAAGCTGGTTGTCTCAATTGTGCGCAACCTTGGGTCCTTGGCTATTTTTAGAGTAGGGGTAATATGACTGCAAAACTTATGATGAAGCGCAATTTCGATGTACAGTAGCATTAAGACGCAGCATATATGGATGTTGTGTAATTAGATTCTGATGGAATTTCACAAATTTTTAAAAAATTTACAATTTACGATGCATGATGATGATTGAAAACTTTCTATACTTATGGGCAATAAGTTCTTCAACCGTGTCACAGAGGGTGGCAGCTGAGAATTGACATTTCATGATTGTTTTGAACATTATCTGAAATGTAGAAAATATGATGGTTAAAAGAAGAAAAAATTTAAATTCTTCAGCTGGCTTGAAAATTTTTTGCCACTCACTTACTCAGTAGTCAGTTAGTGAGTCTAGTGACAAGGATGGAGAACTTCGTCCATAGCTGGAAATTTTTTATACTTATCGTCATTCAAGTAAATTGAATCTTTTTAAACCCGAAAGAAATCCCAGAACCTTACAATATCATGGGCTATGTTGCTATACGGTAATATAATTTTGTTTACAGTCCCACTGCTGTAAAAATAACCAAAGCCGCACCCAAATGAGACTGCTGAGAAAACCTTATATAGTGAACCATTCAGATTATTTAAAAGCATAAGTGGAGAAAGAATACAGGCCCATGAACACATTTTTATTAATTCGAATGAACAATAATTGGCATGCAAAATATTATGCTTTTATATTAAATTGGAAGGTCTCGGAATAGGATTTCAGTAACTATTGTATACGAATAACGCTGCTGCTGAAGAGTTTAGTTTGATTTACAACTGAGGGTTGATCACACGTCTTGAAGGGATGATAAATAAATACTGAAATGTTTCAATATCAATATGCCCAGGATATATACCGAGTGCTTTAAACCGCGATTCCTCCAAAAAGCAAGTGCTCCACAGTGCTCTAATTCAAATAATTCCTTAAATTTTTAGATTTACAATGATACATTTATATTTTCAGAATGTTTTCAAGTACAAAGTCATCGTCTGGTTCCGCTATTTTTAGATGTACAGTACCTCTATTATGAGTAAAATGGTCTTCTTTCAAGTGCGCCCAGCAGTCGGGTATTACTTCCATTAAGAATATACCGAAAAAGAGAAGAAAATACCAAGTATTGCGTGTACTGTATATACAGTACTCTACTGTTGTTCATGGTTATCCTTGGCTAGTAAAGGGCTTTATATGGGCGATTCAAGTCCGAAAATATACTGTATTTAAAGAGATTAAAACGGAGGTAAAAAAAAGAGCTTACTTTGCCGTTATAATGGGTGCACATTTGCACGGAAGTATCATGAAGAAAAATTTAAACCTATCGAACGCAGAGGATAATTATTTCAGATATACATTACTGTATTCATTGATTGATTTCTTTATAAGCAGCACGTGTTTTTTTTCCAAAAGAGGGACCATTCTCTCACTGAGCAAGTGCGTCGCAACTTCAAATTTTTAAATCCACATCGTTGTGATATAAAATGTATCTAAAAGAATGAGACTAAAAGATCGCAGTTGAAGGGACGTTTTTTGTTTAGGGAAACTTATTTTTTTGTGGAAGAAAGCTTTAAAAATTACAGGAAGGTAAAATCTGTGATATTATCCTAAGAGTGAAAATGCTTGGTAAAGGGATGAACAATATGCTGAACTTGTTTTCATATTATACAAGTATGTTAATCGAAGTCCAAGCGACAAAAGTCCACAATCCAGTTCAAAAATTGCTTTTTTCTCTTCTGAAATTTACCACAATAAATACTCTTAACATTTGTTGCAATTTTCGAGATTAGATTGCAGTATTTTCCTGTCTTTTGAGGAACTCGTACTGGAATATGTACATTTTATATACAGTGCTGCATTTTTGGGCATTAAAAAAATGATTTTTTGGTACATATGTGCTGTAAAAACGTATTATTCTGTTATGAAATTAACGTTGCTTAAAGAGGCTTCTGCTGCGTCAAAAATGCCCATAATTAAAATAGTGAAGTACCGCATGATAGCAGACAAATTCATTTTTTTCAAAGGAATCTCCATACAGTATAGCAAAGCTAAAACAAATTTATCAGGAAGCTTTTTGAAATTTGATCTGTTGCATTGAGGTTCTAGAATATAACAGATCATGTAAAATAACACCAAACTTCCACAAACTAAAAATATAATTTTTCCCACCAAAAAGTTCGTTATACACATGCATTGAGCTTTTTTTTAACCAATTTCAAGTTGAATTTTTATAATGCATTTTACTTCCATTCTCGTACTTATTCAAATAATTCGACCTTTTATCTCTGTTACCGGGCATTTTTGCTGACATTGCGTCACGCCCTGTATATGTGCATCCTCGTGTTACGCCCATCTCCATAATTTTAGAATAAGATGGTGTCATTTTGACAGGGAAATAAAATACACCAAATAAAAGGAGCATAATTCATGCGCATTCTGTACTCGGTAACTAATTTCTTGATAAGCAGCATGTGTTTTTCGTTTTCCAAAAGAGACCATTTTCTTACTAGCCCAGCAAGCGTCACAACTTTTTCAAAATTTTAAATTTACGTCGTCGTAATATACAATTTATCTGAGAGAATGCGAGTATAGGAAATAATAAAGGAGCTTTTGCTGCATTCGAATGTTCGCAGCACTCATGAATTAATTATGTTCCTGATCAAATTCTTTTGTGATATAAACTTATAGTAAATCTCTTGTACAGTATATACTCCGCAGTTTCTCAATAGACTTTTTCGCTCAAACGACCTGTTTGCGTCAATTTTTGTGATGAAAAGAGACATAATTATTAAATTGCAAGAGTTCTGCGAAGTTTCTCAAGCATATATAGACTTTCTTGAGCATATAGTAAGTGCATTGAGAACTTGAGTGCAGAATGCAATTTCATCACGAAAATAGTGATTTCAAGAACGGCTTGTAGAATTCTTTTAAAAAATGCAGGATACAAACGATAAATAAAAAAATGATCTTCGTCTCTCTTTCTCTAAATTACGTATTGAGCACGACCAGCACAGCAATGCGTCATAATTCACATTTCGCAAATTTCGATGTGGAATTGTTCTGTGAACAAGCAGTAAAGCTTAGTGATTCTCTTTTTTCATTTTTTCATGGTTCGCGCTCAAGCGCAAAATCAGTCGTAATAAGTGCGACGGTTGGTTCATAAGTTTTGAGACTTTTTAAAATTGATTCAACAATTTTTTTTTTAAATATGAAAGAATTTTTTTATCCCCCATCATTCAGCTAGACCACGGTGCATTTCAACATACCATCTTTCGCCAATTTTAATACATTGTATCATGTGATAAACCCACCGATCAAAACAGTGCCAAAAATTCGAGTTCTGCTGTTATAGTTGACACTGTGACTTCTGGCTGTTCCCTATTGAGCAAAGATCAAACAGAAAAGGAATTTATTTTAAGCACAATAAGGACAGTCTCACTTCCCCCATCAAAAAGCAGCTTTATCAACTAATTGAACTCGATTTATTTTGGCACTGTTTTGATCCATGGATTTATTTCATGAATAAAATGGCTCCATGATGAAATCCCGTAGGAGAAAAAATCCCGTGAGGCAAAAAATCCCGTGAGGCGAAAAATCCCGTAGGCCCAAAAATTTTGCGGGGTCCAAAAATCCCATAGGTAAAAAAATCCTGTAGACTACAAAAATTGTGATATTTTCGGGGAGTTTTCCTTCCAACTGCCTGGGAGGAATGCGGGATTTTCTCCTGCACCTGAATAAAATGTATTGGATTCTGTAGAGAGTATGTTGAACAACACGCATGTTGCAACAATCAATGCTAGAGTGTGATCTGCTATGCTGACTGATAAAATTGGGAGTCCAAATTCTTGGGAAGACTTGTCCTTGTGCACCTCTGTGTGAACTGGGAAAGACCTTGGTTCACACACACTCTTTCTGGAAGCCTCCAAGGCTCTTTTCTATTGCCAAAACTAATCAAATTTAAAAATCTTTCAAGTAAAATCTTTATTTGTTGAGGATTTATTCCCAACAACGTACTACAACTGTAGCCAATTGAAGGGGCTCTCTGAGTGCAATTTTTTTTGTGGGATTGCGGAATCTCAGCCGGATTATCTAAAGAAAATGTCACAACACATATGAACAAACCCTAGTATATACTGTATATATAACAGTTAAATAACACCATAACTTCCTCATGATGAAATAAAAAAAGAGTGAACCCAGCCGCGACGAACAACTCTTATATACTGTATACAGTAATTCGAAAGTTTCACAATTAAATTTTCATTTTCTATAGATCTAAACTTTCTCTTTATACACATGATTGTTACGCTTGGGATATTTCGTGTTTTTTTTCCTGTAAGCGTCTTGATTGTTTCGTTCTAGGTTCAGAAGTGCTCGCGAATTTTCATTGCTGCATTTCATCGTCGGGATTTCACAAATCCGTGGTTCCAACGGATTCTAATCTCTAATATATCCGAAAGGACAAATGACATCTTGATAAGTGTGGCCTGCTGATGTATATGCATCATGTCGAATTGAAATTTTCGACTATAAAAAATTCGATGACGTCATTTTGTGCAAATTTGATCTGAAGGAGATTACTTGATTGCAAAGGTAAGTTGTTTCCATGAATTCCTGTATAAATGACGTTTGTAGGGGTGCAGGAGAAAATCCCATAGGAGAAAAAATCCTGTGGCCCGAAAATCCTGTCAGGCCAAAAATCCCGTAGGCCCAAAAATCTCACAGGGTCCAAAAATCCTGTAGGTACAAAAATCCCATATACTCAAAAATTGAGATATTTTCTTGGAGTTTTCCTTCCAACTGCCTGGGAGGAATGCAAATACTGTATGGTGGATTATGAAATGGTGAAAGTACCTTCCAAGGATTTCCAGGATTTAGGAATTACCTCTCTCTATAGAACCTCAACTTCACTTCCTGACCATTCTCCCAAGGAAGCATGAGAAAAATGTAACCTTCATTTGGATCAAGGCTTTGTCCCTGTATTTGTTTTTTATATAAACTGTTGACTTTTCCAATTAATTTAAGCTCTACTTTGTCTTTGAAACATGAATTCCTACATCAGAAAACCTCCTTTGATATCTGCATATGGTGATCATCTGTAAATAATTTAAAATCATCAAATAAGTCTAAGTACAGTTGCATAATGATATTTTGTTTTGTCAAATTTAAATTTCAATATACAGTACAAGTGAAGTTGTTTCAATATACAATAGAAGTGAAGTTGAGGTTCTATATTGAGAGAGGTAATTCCTAAACCTTGGAAGGAAACCCCTCGCACTTTCACCATTACATAATCCGCCATACAGTATTTGCATTCCTCCCAGGCAGTTGGAAGGAAAACTCCCAGAAAATATCTCAATTTTTGAAGTATATGGGATTTTTGCACCTATGGGATTTTTGGACCCCGCAAGATTTTTGGGCCTACGGGATTTTTGGCCTGACAGGATTTTTGGGCCGCGGGATTTTATTTCCTACATCATGTACTGTATATTGAATATCAAGATTGAAGATGAAATATCACTATATGACTGCATTTTAGACTTCTTTTATAATTTATAATTATTTACATACCATTGCCTTCTGCAGTTTTCACATGAGGTTTTTCTGATATGAAAATTCATTTTTTGGGATTTTTGTTCTTACGGGATTGTTGGACCTTTTGAGATTTTTGGGCCTGCGGGATTTTTGGCCGCACGGGATTTTTGGGCCGCAGGATTTTTTCTCCCACGGGATTTTATCCTGCATCCCTGAATTTTACTAACATTCTTAGTGTAATTAACTTAGTGTACCCTTCCCTTAATCCTTGGGAATAAGGTCTACAGTATAACATAGAACACTTTGGAAAATGTTATGATTTTTTGTGAGTTGAAAATTCAAAAATTTCCGCTTTGGAGTGAAGCAGATACAGTATGTACTTGAACAAGATTTCATGAGATTTTTCGAAGGATTCGATTAAGTCTATAAAAGCGAAACCACCGAGAAGTCTGTTGAAATATGGCATAAATGAATTTTACTAACATTCTGAAGTATGATTGAATGCCTTCCCTTAATCCTTGGGCTTAATACGGTCTATACCATAGAACACTTCGGAAAATGTTATGATGTATCTTGCGTTGAAAATTTAAAAGACTCCGCTTCAGAGTCAAGCAAATATATGTTCTTGAACACTTGGTGTTCCCAAATACTGTGTTCTTGGAAGAAGAATCAGGGTTATGCGGTCAGTGTGTGTGTTCCGCGTGGGTAGTTTTCTTTGCGCAGCTGTTGCGTGACGCGTTTCCGTCTTTGCCAGAAAAGGACCTTCAAAAAAGGACTTTCCACAAGTACTTTATTCCAGAATGCTATTCTTTTTTCGAATCAAATTTAACCTAAAAAAAGTACCTCGTGGTCTTTCATTCCGGGTATTCACTGCTTAATTTATTATGCACGTAATATTCAAAATCCACTAAATACATCAAGACATTATTGTATTTATCTTCGTTTACATTTATTTGTTGGACAATTGGATAAAAAGTGTTCTTATATATATGCCTTACTTCAATGATGCTATAATAATGAAACCAGCGCGAAATGAACCTATCTTTTTTATGGGGTGGAATAATGTAGTGATGTACTGTAATTTTCAGACACTTGTACAGTATAGTATACTGTACTGTATAGAGTATATACGGTATCTATAATTGTTTCAGTTTTTAATCAAAGCTATTGATCGATCATTTGAAAAGTGCGACACGTATCGGAATCAGCACCAGCTAGTACTGTATTGTGTATCCTACTTTCGATGTTACAACTCGGGGATCTCAAAGGATCATCATTACTGTATTTATTATTTATTGTATTGATGTACAGTATGTACCAGTAACTACGCAGCAGGAAGGCAATCTTTACGTAAAAACACAAGCCGTGCACTTCGCGTGAGCTTCACTGGTAAAGTCGTATTCCACTTTCATGGAGAACATTTCCTTCCCTCCTTCCTGGCCCGTGCTTTGACATACCACATGCAATTTCAAATGCTTTTCGCTTCCGGCAAAAGGACTGAGACAATTACGCGACTCGTTGCCACTTCCGGGTGCCGTACATACGTGTATATACGAGGGAGGGGAAAGGCATGAGTGCAAGATATAGCGTTGCTTTTGCGGCTCGTTGATTCCCTGATGGTCACTGTTCACACTCCGAATGAACGCTGATTATCTGAATTTATCCTAGGTGTCGCGGCTGATAACTGGAGTGCTTAAAGTGCTTACTGAGTATACTGACATTTGACGCCATTTTATGGCCGGGTTTACTATACAGTACTGTACAATACTCTGCAGCATCTACTATAGCTCTTGCGTATTCAGTAACTCTGTCAGAAAATAACGGACTGACTTTGTACAGTATACTGTTGTACCATATCATTTATACATTTTATAGCATTCCCAAAACTTGAGCTCACAGTCCAGTACATTTCCATAAAATTATTTGCAGAACTGCAAAGTCCCAAAATATTTCTGAGGAGTGGCAAAGTTTCATAGAATGTTTGCAGACTCAACAAAGTTTTGTTTGAGAGACTTATTTATGGCAGGTATTTAAAAGTTTCCACTTTTTTGCAAAAATTAAAGTGAGCAACAAGGAAGCAGCTTTAGCATGAATGTCATCAGAAAGTTAGAAAGGTGGGGTCGAAGGAAGGTTTCTCAGATTGAAAAATAAAAAGAATTTATTTTAGCGTGGGAAATTTTGTCTGAAGAGGTATTAGCATAAACGCCAATGCTTTTTTTTTCATGGAGTCTTTTCAAAATTTTAGATAAAGATGCGTAACAGATTTCATTGCTACTTTTGAAACATGTGTTACGCCGAAAATTTCTAGTGGACTGGCTGAAATTTCTGCGGACCGGCGCCAGTAGTCCGCAGAACACGGGTTGGCGAACAGCACTGATTTAATGTGCATTATATTGTACAAGGAGATGGGCATCAGGAACCAGCATGCATTATTATTGCTGTATTTGCAGGTCGTCATTTTTAAATGCAATCCGTTATATTTCTTGGAAACAGAACATTTTACAAAATAATCTTGGATCAGTGAAATTCCATGGATTTTTTAAAAATCTGAGTCACTGATGATTAGAACAAGTGCTATATCATTTTCTGTTCTTTTCATCGCATACAGATATGGCACCGGGCGGATCGCCGGCTGCTGCTGCTGGTCGCAGGGGGGAGGCCGAGGACGATTACGGCAGTGAGAGGCGACCTCTAGATTTGAATAAATATACGACAAAGAAAACGATTGCACAGGGCATGCTTGATGTAGCACTGCTCACGGCGAATGCTAGTCAGTTGAAGTACGTGCTGACGAATCACGGGAATCAGCAGGTCCACTTCTATTACTTACTACTGGTGTTGATCTCTGTCTCCATTGCCCTACAGGTATGTACCGAAGGAATTCTTGATGAAGGTGTTGAGCGCATTTTTCAGACTTTATTTGCGTTTTTTTGGTGGGGCTTATTTATGATATACACAGTACAGTAGTGTTGATTTCTCGGTGGCATACTTGTGAAGATAGCCGAGGCTCATTTAAAAAAAATTTAATCAAGCAGGAATCCTTCAACCCATGAGATCACAGTAATAGAAACGCCTCAATCTTTTCCTCAAATTTGTTTAAAAAAAAGATATGATAATTCATCAGCCTTTGAAGACTTAAATGCAATGTTTCTTTACTGATGTATATCCGAGGATAATTCCGAGAATGGAGCAAGTGACAGAATTGTTCCGCCGGTTAAACTTTTAATCCTCTCTTTTCGCATAGAAACCATACATTTTGATTTTAAAAATTTTTTAGACTTCCCGAGTAGGTTTATGGAAAATAAATACTGTACAGTACTGTGTATAAAATAGACAAGAAAGCTGAATGTCTGGCGAGGTACAGTATGTTTTTTTTAAAGGAAACATTTTTCGTCATCGACCATATTTTCAAGTGCTGGTACTTGAGAACAATTGGTGACTTGCTGTGTTTCGAACTGCAGTACTTTAAAAGTGAAACATTATCTGTGAAGATCACGTGAAAGATTTACGTTGTAGAGAAATGTTTAAAACGATGAGAAGCCCTTTAAAATTAAATTTTACGATTTCTATTCTCCGTAATAGGCCTGGTGGGCGTATTCATATGAAGTGGTTTACTCTCATTCATTCATGTATGTAAATAAATAGTCGTGACAAAATTATTTGATTAAAGAAGATGTGTTTTTGTGCAGGTGATCGTCGGAATTCTGATTCTTGTCGTGGGAAACGTCAACATCAACAGGAAGGAGAATCACTACGTAGGCAACATCATCAACAACTTCACAGTCGGACTGATCTTCCTAATATCCGTAATCAACATTGTCATCTCATCTCTGGGATTGGATAACTACTCGTCGCAGTATCAGTACCAACCGGTTGTAACAGGAAATAATTGAACAATTTTGAAATCGGTTAAAAAATATTAATATACATTTTCAAATGTTTGACAAACGTTCGAATATTTCTGCAGACGAACAAAATTAACCCGATTTTCAATTTCAGCCCAAAGAAGAGCTTCAAAATACTGTATATGACAAATTTAATAAGTTTTAAAATGTTTAAGTTCCTTGCAAGATATATAACTCTTGAATCAGTTGGACATTGATGGGTTTCAATTTCAAAATACTGTACTGCATGTACTTAAGCCCTAAAAATTCGATACTGGTTCATACAAAAAAGAAAGAGACAGCATCCACTGCGATTCAATTGGCAAATTTTCATTGCGAGGATCTCTTAACTTCGTATCAGTCATTCAGGAGCTTTTAGAATACAGTAGTTCTTTGAAAAAAAATCGAATTACAGTATTAAGAAATGTGGAAAGCATTGAAGAATAAAAATGAAGGACCCCCAGTTTTTTACATAATTTTCCATGCAAATGATTAACCGAATGCTGTTGCTTCTTATAGGATTGCTTTTGGTATAGCTGCTTCTATTCTTGTAATATTTCTCTTGCTTTTGTGAAAATAAAACAAATACTCTGTATTATTTCGTGAAGATTTATGGATGAATGAATCGAACGTTTTTCACGAACGTTGGACGCGAACTGAATTTTTCACTGTAAACAATAGAGTTACACGAAAACAAATTTAGCCCACTTTTAAAAGACTGTTTTGTGCTTTAAGAAAATTAGCGTATATATGCTCCTCTTTCTCCATGCGGGAAAAAACGGAAGCATTTATGTTTTAAAATATTCAAGCTTACCACTGATTTGCCTTTAGATAAAGCAGTTTTTATACTCCAGAAAATCCCTCACTATAGAATATAGATACACTTGCATTTCGAGCTTGGAATATTATATTTGCAGCATATGTATTCTGCTGGTGAATGTCTTCCAAGAAATTTACGAGAGCAACAATTTCTCCAATAAATGAAAGCATGCGAGCTAAAGACGTTCATTTGCAACACTTTAAGGCATATTTAAAAAAATCACAATTTACTGAATGAAAACTCTTCATTTTTTGACGCAATGACTTCTTCAGGTACGTCAAAATCTATGGATTTTTCGCTTTCCGGAACATGAACCGATTTCCCCATTTGACTGCTTGAAAGTGATTGTGACGAATCACTTTTTACCACTTGTGAAATTGACTCTGATGAATCACTTCTAGTTGAACTAGATCCGACTTTCTCCGTCTCTTGTCCTCCTTGTGAGTGAATTCTCATTGATGTCAAATTACCATCTTCTTCAGGCAGTCTGAAAGACCTGCATATAAACAAAAAGTTAAATAGCTCAGGCTCGAATCACGAAATCTTGAAATTTTGAAAATTAGTTGAGTGTGGTCCTTTAGAAAATCTTTTATCCAATGATTTATTCGAGTTTTCTGAAAGAAATTTGAAAACTGACCTCAACGAATCTTCGTCGGGATCCTGTTGATGCGTCTTATTGGACGAAGCCTTTTCCAAATCATCGGCACCATTCGGCGATTCTCGGTCGTCGGAATTTTTCGATAAATCTCCGGATCCCTCATTTTCTTGAAACACTTTCAATTCTTTGCGATAAAAGAACTGACAGCCAGCCACGAAGAATATCGCAATCAATACGCCGCAAACCAACAGCGCATACAAACTCGAGGGGTCCAGCATATTGTTGCGTTTTATTTGGTTTCAATCATCAAGATCACATGCTTGTTTTGTTTAAAAAAAAGATGTATAGTATCCCCTGAAATTAGGACCAAATTAAATAGAATATTTTCAGGAATCACAAAATTACGCTGGGAATCACTTCTCTTTTTTTTATCCACTTTCGCGCACTTCTGTGAAATCAGGCGAGATAAAAAATAAAATAAATTACAATATTAATCGATTGAAAAAAGAAAATTTTGAACAATTCTTCACATGAAACACCTCAAATTTCTGAAGAACGCTTAAAAATGGTTATTTTACAGTACGTAATAAAAAAATACTGTATATATTTCACACGGACAAAGATGACATTTTTAGGAGGAAAAATCTTTCCAGTGTGAAATTCGCGGCTCCGCATTCCAGTCGTGAGCTTATCACTCCATGTTCCGCAACAGGTTTAATCTTATCATTCTATACGCTGTTAAATACGAAGGAAAAATCTTAAAACCCGTATATTCTTCATTCGCAGTTTATAGTCACAAATGCCACACGCATGTCTTTCGCCCTTTGAATGAATCATGGTTTTTCTCGCTCAGATTCGANCGTAATCAACATTGTCATCTCATCTCTGGGATTGGATAACTACTCGTCGCAGTATCAGTACCAACCGGTTGTAACAGGAAATAATTGAACAATTTTGAAATCGGTTAAAAAATATTAATATACATTTCCAAATGTTTGACAAACGTTCGAATATTTCTGCAGACGAACAAAATTAACCCGATTTTCAATTTCAGCCCGAAGAAGAGCCTCAAAATACTGTATATATGACAAATTTAATAAGTTTTAAAATGTTAAGTTCCTTGCAAGATATATAAATCTTGAATCAGTTGGACATTGATGGGTTTCAATTTCAAAATACTGTACTGTATGTATTCAAGCCCTAAAAATTCGATTCTGGTTCATACAAAAAAGAGAGAGACAGCATCCACTGCGATTTAATTGACAAATTTTCATGGCGAGGATCTCTTAACTTCGTATTAGTCATTTAGGAGCTTTTAGAATACAGTAGTTCTTTTTAAAAAATCGAATTATTAAGAAATGTGGAAAGCATTGCAGAATAAAAATGAAGGAACCCCAGTTTTTTTACACAATTTTCCATGCAAATGATTAACCGAATGCTGTTGCTTCTTATAGGACTGCTTTTGGTATAGCTGCTTCTATTCTTGTAATATTTCTCTTGCTTTTGTGAAAATAAAACAAATACTCTGTATTATTCCGTGAAGATTTTATGGATCAATGAATCGAACGTTTTTCACGAACGTTGGACGCGAACTGAATTTGTTTTCACTGTAAACAATAGAGTTACACGAAAACAAATTAAGCCCACTTTTAAAAGACTCAGTTTTGTGCTTTAAGAAAATTAGCGTATATATGCTCCTCTTTCTCCATGCGGGAAAAAACGGAAGCATTTATGTTTTAAAATATTCAAGCTTACCACTGATTTGCCTTTAGATAAAGCAGTTTTTATACTCCAGAAAATCCCTCACTATAGAATATAGAAACACTTGCATTTCGAGCTTGGAATATAATAATTGCAGCATATGTATTCTGCTGGTGAATGTCTTCCAAGAAATTAACGAGAGCAACAATTTCTCCAATAAATGAAAGCATGCGAGCTAAAGACGTTCATTTGCAACACTTTAAGGCATATTTAAAAAAATCACAATTTACTGAATGAAAACTCTTCATTGCTCGCCGCAATGACTTCTTCATCAGGTCCGTCAAAATCTATGGATTTTTCGCTTTCCGGAACTTGAACCGATTTCCCCATTTGACTGCTTGAAAGTGATTGAGACGAATCACTTTTCACCACTTGTGAAATTGACTCTGATGAATCACTTCTAGATGAACTAGATCCGACTTTCTCCGTCTCTTGTTCTCCTTGTGAGTGAATTTTCGTTGATGCCAAATTATCATCTTCTTCAGGCAGTCGGAACGACCTGCATATATAAACAATAAGTAAAATAGCTCACGCTCGAATCACGAAATCTTGAAATTTTGAAAATTAGTTGAGTGTGGTCCTTTAGAAAATCTTTTATCCGATGATTTATTCGAGTTTTCTGGAAGAAAATTGAAAACTGACCTCAACGAATCTTCGTCGGGATCCTGTTGATGCGTCTTATTGGACGAAGCCTTTTCCAAATCATCGGCACCATTCGGCGATTCTCGGTCGTCGGAATTTTTCGATAAATCTCCGGACACGAAGAATATCGCAATCAATACGCCGCAAACCAACAGCGCATACAAACTCGAGGGGTCCAGCATATTGTTGCGTTTTATTTGGTTTCAATCATCAAGATCACATGCTTGTTTTGTTTAAAAAAAAAGATGTATAGTATCCCCTGAAATTAGGACCAAATTAAATAGAATATTTTCAGGAATCACAAAATTACGCTAGGAATCACTTCTCTTTTTTTTTATCCACTTTCGCGCACTTCTGTGAAATCAGGCGAGATAAAAAAATAAAATAAATTACAGTACACTATTAATCGATTGAAAAAATAAAATTTTGAACAATTCTTCACATGAAACACCTCAAATTTCTGAAGAACGCTTAAAAATGGTTATTTCACGTTGGAGATGATACACAGTACGTAATAAAAAAATACTGTATATATTTCACACGGACAAAGATGACATTTTTAGAAGGAAAAATCTTTCAAGTGTGAAATTCACGGCTCTGCATTCCAGTGAGCTTATCACTCCATGTTCCGCAACAGGTTTAATCTTATCATTCTATACGCTGTTAAATACGAAGGAAAAATCTTAAAACCCGTATATTCTTCATTCGCAGTTTATAGTCACAAATGCCACACGCATGTCTTTCGCCCTTTGAATGAATCATGGTTTTTCTCGCTCAGATTCGAACTTTTTTCGAGTAAATTTTTTTTAAATCCATGTTGAACGAACACACGCACTTCGTCATCCACATTTTCAATTCGCAATTTCGCGTCACATTGTATTTATTTTTCAAAAGACAGCAAACCTATAATGAAAAGAAGGAACACTGTCGTTTAAATAAAAACAAGTGCAACCAAATTTATGTGAGCCTATAATAACATAGAATCTTCAAATATTTATTGAAAGGGGTTCTTTTTCTTTTTTAGCCTCACATCAGTACGGAAGGTGATCGGTGTCCTGAGTTATTAGGACCCAACCATTCAGAGATTTTATATTTCATCGTTTTATTCCGTAAATTTGAGGATTTTCTTGCGATTTATCCGAGAAAACATCGTACGAACTTTTCGGGTCACCTGCGATCAAGTACGTGCGAAAGTATTAGCGGTTGTATTGTCCGTTTTTGAACAGCTTTGTTATAAATTAACCTGTCTATGATGCTCGTCAAATTTAATCTTGATTTTATTACACGCGACACACGATGCCATATTGAACAGATTCATCACCAGCTTATTAGACACGCATAAAATTCAACTTCCTATGTACAGTAGGTGAGAAAAGTCGATATATATATTATTGTGTATATGCTGCATACCAGGGAAAAAGAAAACAAAAATCGGACGAATCAGGAATAAAGGGTAACAACTTCCGTGCCGGTGCCGTAAACAAGGATTACCCTTGGCAACCCGTCTGTCAATGCCTGCAACATACCCAAGTAGGCATCAGCAGATTCGTGCTCACCTGGTCCACTGGGCAAATTCATGAACACCAAACGGGCATTGCGAGAAAAGGAAGAAGCCACTCCGTTCAACTTGAGGGCTGTGTGCATTCTGCGAACTTGCAGCTCATGCTCATCTTCTGACTAAAAAAAATAAAAATAATAATAACAATAATGAATATATAAAAGTTAAAAAGTTAGTTCAAGTTAGTACAAGCTCAAGAAAGATTTACAAGTACAGTATTGGAATTCAATGAAGAGGCCCCTTCTGAAATCTTAAAGGATCAAGATAAACTGCTGGCCTTATATGATTCATCATCAAAGATTCTCTCTAATTTGTTGATTCAACTAAACCTCATACAGAAACAAGCTGAAGACCTTGTGCTTTAAATTAATGTTTACATATATTTTGTTTCCAATGTCAGGAAATGAATGGGTGTATGCATACATGTCAGATGTCCAGTTGTATTTCATGTATTGTATTTTATTTTATTTTTGTTATCAATTTGTGCTCTGTTTCCTGCTCTTCGTTGGGGCCGAGCTTCAATTTAAGGTTTGAACATTTGTCAGGTTTTTTTTTTNTAAATGTCATTGAGTGGATTTGGGTTGCTATGGGTGGGAAGGGGGTTTGGTTGTGGAAATCTTGATTGAACCTTGTGAATGCTGAAAAGCGGCAAATAAAGTGTTCTGTTCATTTGTTCATTCATAGTTCAAGTTAAACTCAGTGTTTTTATTCCAAAATTATTAAATAAAATAAAGTAAGCACAGATAAGAAGATTATACAGTAGAAACTCGTTATTCAGTACGACGAAGCGTTCAGAGGACCCTAAAAGAAAGCTTCGTTGTAAATGAAAATTCGTGAAAAATAAATTATTGCGATATTGTAGCCTATGGACAGGGGCCGAGAAATCAAATTCGTTACAAGCAGTAACTCGCTATACAAAGAGATTCGTTGTAACGCTGACTACTGTATTTCTTGTGAGAGGATTCAGTTGATCCCTGAAATTCGGACATCTCGACTTCTGGGTGGTTTAAAAATTTAAAAAACCTTTGTGACATCCGTAAAATTGAGAGATCTCAACAGATATATTTCTCAAAGCTAAAAAAAAAACCTGACAAATGTTCAAACCTTAAATTGAAGCTCGGCCCCGACGAAGAGCTAGGGCCTCGAAAATGAAAAATCAATGTCCATTCAATCAAATTTGTAATTACCGTAAATATTTTTACTACTGTGCATGTTTTTGAATCCAACTGCGCACTTTCTCAAATATCGTATTTACTCCGAGTACCAGCACGTGCAATTTCTTCAAAATTGAAGGGATAAAAAGGAGGTAACGTCATAAAGTCGGGATACAATTTTATAAAAAACATTTTTAGGTTGTGTCGCACATCATACTTGATTCAAACAAAATTCTCAAAAAATTTCAATATATCAGTCAAATGTTGGAAAATCAACATTAAACTTGAAACAAAATTGGTAAAAAATTCAAATTCTGATCCATCCTAGTGAATCGTGTTTCTTTTTCAAAATATTCTAGTTTTCAGCGTCTCTAAACCTGGAGTGATATATTTTATCCAAATTTTAGGATGGCTTATTCAGGCGTGTGCCTTCGTTGACAGTGGGTGGTACTCAAATAATTACGCATTACGATGCAGTTTATGCAGAATCTGTGTTCAACAATGCAATAAATTACGAATAATACAAATATAATCATCACAAAGAATTGCGTGCATGAGGTATGCGGCAAATACACAAGAAGTCGGTTTATGGAATTTCCAGGCTATTTTTTTCATATTTTTCAATTCTCTCGGCGGGTGGGAATGTGGGGGGGGGGGGCAAGGAAAAATGTCATTACCTCATCCTTCTTGTTGTTTTCTTCTGGTTTATCGGAAACCGGTGGACAGCAGTCTCGCGTTCTTGCGTGGTCCAATACGGCCATAACGTCGCATCTGGCGTGGAGGTGCAACTGCGACAGCAAATCCCGTCGCTGCTGCAGAGCGAGCGTCCTCTCGACAGCATAGGCGGACACGTCCGTCTCGTCCATCTCCACGACGAACACGTCGGCCGGGATGCGGAGTTCGTAGAGAAATGCTTGTAGGTGTCGCTTCATGGCGATCGAGTTGTCTTGCGGACGCGCGATCGTGAATATCCGCAATTCCTGTCAACAGCGTCGCAATCTTTTTGAATGATGCAGTGAGGTCAACTACCTATACTCCAATATATCGACGGAGGAGACACTTGGCGAGAATACCCCAGCAGAATCCCATAGAGTAATTTAGATCTCAAGAAATAAAATTTGACATGTACAGTATATCAAATTCAGATCATATACAGTACAGATGAACCTTAATAACTCGAACCTCCGTAAGTCGTTTTTTTTTTTAAACTCCTGTCTGAATCCCCTTAGAATTCATGCATTCAAAACCTCCTCTAGTCAAAGGCTTTTCCCCTCAAACCTCCATAAGTCGAATTTTCTATGGCCTGTTGGCTTTAATTTTTTTGACACAAGAAAGAAAAAAGCCATAAAAACATAAATGTATTGGTTTCAAAAGAAGATGAGAGACATAATTGTTCAAATGAACCGTGCCTCCAATTTCAGGATACTTTCAACTCATTTAGAAGTAATTTTAGCCTCAGAATATCATAATATACAATTTTGAGCAATTTTGCCATTTCCCAGGACAAAAGGGCTTTGTATTGTAGCTCAATTCAAAATTTCCCTAAGTCGATTTTTTTCTGATCCCTTGAAGTTCAACTTAGAGAGGTTTGACTGTAATTTACATTTAGTGGTACAAACTTTTTTGAAAATACAGTAAGCGCCAGCGACACCTATGTTGCCACGCACTCACTAATTTCTCTTTGGCGCATTCTTGCATCCTCAACCATAATGGCGGCCAGCCAGCACAAGGCAGAGAGCCAGCCAGAGGAGCCTCACTCTCGTGTGAGCTCTCAGACTGGCAACATCTCCTGTTCCAAATCAGCGCCTAACAAACCTCTTGTCTCATAATTGTTATGCAAATCAGAGTGTGACTTAGTTCTTACATTTGTGAAGATTCTTAAAGTGTCCAAAGCAAGAATAAACCTCTCTGTGTATAAATCTCCAGAGCTGTGTGTAACCTTACTTTGTGACGACGCGGATCTCTCACTATACAGTATTGGATTTTGCAGCATACAAGAGAAAATGATGAGGCATCACCTGCCGCTTTCTCTTCCTCTTGATCCTGATGCTTTCGCGGTCATCTTCCCTCTGTTCCTGCTGCAGCAGCAAGTACGGCAACAGCAACAGAATGCCTCCGTCGTTGAAAATCCACCACACGTCGATAGTGGTCACGGATTCCGCACATTCATCATCAGCAGTGTTGGATGACAGCACCTGATGGTGTTGCTGGCCCGAGTCCTGCTCGTCCCCGCTCATGAGTGTACGACTGCTCGATGGTTCGTCCAGTCCCTTGACCAGCATCACGGCTTTCCCGCAACTGATGGCCGCTCTGATGGCCTCCACGCAATGCGGCCAGAAACGGGCAGAGGAATCGTCGCTGTCGGTCGTGGCCGGCATGCTGACAGCCACTGTGTTGGGGGACAAGCTGGCAATCCCGACAGACTGGACCAGCACTTTGAGGGCTTCCGATGGCTGGCAAGAGGCCACTACCCTGACGAATCCCGACATGGGCTTCGTGCCGCCTGTATAAATTTATTTATAAGCATTACTATGGTGGAATTCCGATGCGTTAAAACAGTTGAATCTCACCAAGTTGAAAGCAAAATATAAAAGAGACTCATATGAAAAACGTTCGACTTATATTGGGGAGCTTTTTGGGTCGTCGCAGGGGCTTTGGTCAATTTGTGATTATTATTCATGGAAATTTGTTTCTGTCAAATTTATTAGAATTGTTATTGATTGTAGATTTCTTGCTGCCTTTCCATTTTTAAAAGCGGTATGAGTGAAATTCCAATGCATAAATAGTTGAGTTTCTCCAACTTCAATTCAAAGGGACTCTGAAAATTTTCGATTTAGGTGGGAACTTTTGGGTTGGAGATTTCGGTAAATTTTTGCAGATTATTATTCAAGGGAATTATTTATTAGAATTGCTTATTATTTTTAGATTTACTATTATGCCGCCTACATATTTATATAAGTACTGTAGTACAAAGGAAATGCCAATGCATGAAGAGTTGAATCTCTGCAAGTCAAATTTAAAGATAAATAAAAAAAACAGAAAAAAGTTTGCAGAGCTTATAGGGGCTTCCTTCAAGTTGTGCAAATATTTCTTTAAAAGGAATTTCTACAATAAAATTTATGATTAGATTTGTTTATTATTTGTAGATTTACTATTGTGCTGCCTATATTATATTTAAATGAACACGAAAAAGGGACTTCGAATGGACTTGAACCACTGCTCAAGTGCTGTTTTAATGACCTTCAGTCTAACCAAAATGCTCTTTTCTCATAACATGAGAAAGAACCCTCCATCACTTCCTCAAGGGCTAATCCAAAAGTTTGCATAAATGACTATGATGTAGTTTTCTTGGTTTCTGCTGGAACAACTATTGTATGCATTAGACCAAAATAATTCCAGAAAGGCCTAAAAATTGACAAAGAAAGCTTTGTCTCAAAAAAATTTGAGGTAAAGAGGTTTCAAATGCAGTGTTCTTTATAGTCAATTGAGCATCATCAGGTATCCATCGGAAATTGGACTTTCTTTGGTTTGTTGAGTGATTATTTGCATACCGTGTCGCATAAATTTGCGCAATTTGTCGGTGGCATCCGGCACCTGATCAGGACTCTCAACGACTGTGGCCACGATGGTCACACCACCTGTGCGAAGTGTCAGGGCTCTTAGCAATCCGAAAAGCTTCTCTTTGCCTTCCGCGGCTTCTGCTGACGGAAGCAGGGTTAAAATGGTGGGTGTCCAGTTCTTGGGATGCACGGGTCGACCTTCCTGGCGAAGCAACGCTGCTCTTGCGCTGGCCAAACTGAGGCCAGCTAAACCATCGCCTGCCCACCTGAAACCCCAGTTTGTTTCACGCATCTCTTCCATGATGCAAATATACAGGATGGACTATTCCTACAACAATCTTGTCTACGACAATTTTCTCTGTAGAACCAATTTTTTTGTTGGTCCCATTGGGTTTTCTCCTCATTATGTTATATGGGTTCTCTGCAACAAAATTTGTACTTTCCTGTTATCTCAGTACCTACTTTCCTGTTATCTCTGTACCTTCCCTCTGACCAATTTAACCTGACATAACCTAACTTCACCTAACTGCTTCCCAAAATCAGTTTCTGCTTTCTTTGGGTTTCTGCTGAAACTGATTTTGGGAGGCGGTTAGGTAAAGTTAGGTTAGGTCAGGCTATGTTAATTAAAAGATATTTGTAACTAACATAACCTGACCTAACCNTGCTGAAACTGATTTTGGGAGGCGGTTAGGTAAAGTTAGGTTAGGTCAGGCTATGTTAATTAAAAGATATTTGTAACTAACATAACCTGACCTAACCTAACTTTACGTAACCGCCTGCCAAAATCAGTTTCAGCAGAACGCAGAAAAATAAAATTCCCAGTTTCTGGTAGGTTGTTGTGATAATGAACTTGTCCTAAAGATTTTTCTGGATGGTAGTGTGGTCTAGGAATGAGGTACTGAGGTAACAGGAAACCACCCAAAATTCTCTCAGAATGCATTTTTATGGTCTATTTTATTTCATTTTAGAGAGAGTCCTTCTGGGTGAAGTCTCTCTCTGCAGAAAAAATCCAATTGGGGCTCTATGGAGAAAATCTGGTCCAAAAATCAATTGGTCCAATTGGGTTACCTTCCCATGTTATATAAGGGTTCTCCGCAACAAAATTCTCTCAAGAACACTTTTTCTGGTCCCTTGAGTTTCATTGTAGAGTGAGTCCACCTGCATAACTCCTCCATTTTAGATTGTTGAATCAATTAACCCCCATTTGATTATTGTAATCACTGTTTTATTCATAACGTTTTCACAACCCCCACTACATACTCTTACAAGTAATTCCACACCTAACAATGCTGTGCACTTGAGATGCACTTGAAAATTTGGTCTTTACACATGTACAGCATATACCAAATGTCTTGCGTGTTTACACTGGAGGTACATTTTAATGCAGCAGATGTGCAACAAATACAGTATATCCAAATTTTATACCAACTGTAACCCAGGAATGGTAGAAAATTTTTAGTTTACACTTATTACCCCAAGAATTCCATCCATGTGCACCAGCAGTTGTGTGATCAACCCTACTGAATTCAAGTCCATGGCAAATCGTAGTGAATCACAGATGTTCAAATTATAAATAAGGATTGTAAGGTTAAATACTAGTACAGGTGCAGTATACTACCCCATGATCTTAATGTTTGCTGATTTCATTTTCCAGAGTTGGGGATGAGGAGTGGCAAAGAAATTAGAGATTCATTTGGATATGCATCAAATGGATCTTTGGGTGCATAAAAAGAATATATACCGTACATACAGCACTTTATTCACTAATGCGTTATGTATTTTTGAGAAAGGGACCCAGTTCATTTTTTTTCCATGGGCGGAATGTTCTTGAAATCCTATCACTGCTTAACACCCACACTCCTATTTTTTCTAGCTGAATAAAGGTCAAATTTTTTTTCAAATAATGATTAATGAAAAATAATCTCGTACTGAAATTGAATAATTGAACATAACTCATTTTAACAGAGAAAAGGCACCAAACGTAATTTATTTCTTCATAAATATTACTTACAAACTGATTCTTATTTTCCATGCAACATTGATCTCATGCCTTTTCACAAAAATTTGCATCTGCACCAGCATGCAAACCCTTATTTTCCAGAAAAATAGGTTCTGGTGTTACTCACATATGAGGGTTCTAACAAAAGTTCTCGGAATAGCAATGAAAATGGCCTACAGTTGAGCTGAAATTTTTTTTTCTTTTGGGAAAACATATTCTTTGGCACATAAAAAAATATCAGCCCTGTTTGACAATTGACATTCTTTCCAAAGGGTTGCCTCCAGGTCATCCAAGGCAATTCCGCCATTTCCATCAACAGCCGCCAAAGTGGCGGCCAATGTGACGGCTGTGAAGGCGGCTGTTGATGAAAATGGCAGAATTGCCTTGGAAGATCTGGAGGCAACCCTTAGAAAGAATGCCACATTGATTTCAAAAATTCTGAGGGGAAAGCTGGGCTACAAAAAAAAGGGCGCCTCATCTTTTGAGTGGTGAGCAAAACTCTGCCAGGGTGAATCATGAAAAAAATTCAAAAAAATTTGTCAAACATGACTGATATTTTTTGTGTGCCAAAGAATATGTTTTCCCAAAAGAAAAAAAAATTTCAGCTCAACTGTAGCTCATTTTCATTGCTACTCCGAGAACTTATGTTAGAACCCTAGTACATGCGTCAAGTTTTTGAACCAACTGAAGGTCAGTCTAATTATATCTGCGCAGGACCACTTAACGGTGAATTTTGGTCAAACTCTGCTGATTTCAATTTGAAACCAGGACTGTTTGACATAAACCCAACCATTCAACGTCCTGTCCTGCCGATAACAGTCCAGCCACCCTGTACGAGATCAGCCGCGATATTGCCAATGCCAAGGAAAAGGCCAGCAGTGTGTAGAGCCAGGAACACATGAGCATCACTGTCAAACACAAACAAGCCCCAAACAAGGACAGTGTCCAGTGGTACATGCGGAATCGCGGCCTCCAGCTCGGTACCCGCAACAGGGACTGGAGTGCGCAAGACGCATTCACTGACAGGTAGCACATGAGAAAACACGCAGACACCAGTGGTGTGATGTCGTCCACATTTCCAATCAGCACTGTCACCTATATGGCCATTTGTTGAGGATAAGATGGCATAAAGTAGATTAGGAGAGAAGATACGACACATAAATGTCATTATATCGGAGTTTCATTCAAACCTTCAAAGCTGTTCAAAATTATTTTAATATTGTACATATCAAAAATGCATAGTAAACCACTGTGCAGGTGGACTCTCTCTGCAACAAAAGTTTGGGGACTGGAAGAAAATTGGCTGTTATCGAGATAATTTTTTTTCCTGAGAACCCCTATAAACCGTATGGAGAACTGGGTGAGACCAAAAAATTGGTTCACTGCACACAGAATTAATTTAAGCAATATCATTGTATAGAGTCTAGCTTCTAAAAGTGAACTTCTGTTTTTTTTTTGCTCCAAAGGAACAACTTTTTTCATTAAATGCATGGGTCTTGGGAACAAATTCAAATTTTCAGTGTATTCTTATGGGAAAGTGTGATTCACATATAACAAAAATGTTTGATAAAACTTTAAAATATTTTGTGTTATAATGTTGAGAGCTGGAGACCCATTGTACAGTGGGCCCCGCCTAACAGACCTCCCGCGTAAAGGATCTTTGCCCAACAGACCAGCTCTGCAGGCAGTTTTTCCTCCTGCCCAAAAGACAAAATCTGCCAAACAGACTTCTGCTGGTTTAAAATTAGTGTTGACAATTGAAAGTTTTAATGTTTTATACAGTTGAATTTGTCAAAAGGACTTTTTGTGTGACAGACTTATTGTCCATTGCACAAATTAAGTCTGTTTGAAAGGGGTTGATTTTTGAGCAAGCTAATTCAGACTCAAGGTCATTGCAGTATATTAAGCCTAAATATAAGTATACAGTACAATAATAGGCCGATTGGCAATATTAGGCATTCAATAGGCACACAATATGAAATAATGTTCTGTATTTGTCAATAATGTATATTTCTCAAATTCTTAAAAGCATTACCTATATATCCAACTTTATACAGTATATAAAGCCTTCTACCTGATAATTATTCTACCATATATACGCCAAGTCTCTTATAAATTTCTTATTCAATAAAACCCAAACTACACTGCGCATCATCCAACAGTTAATACCTGCATATACCACCTGTGGTATATTCCTCGCAACAACTTTTTTTGAAAATAGACGCATGGACATTGTCGATAATGATTTAAACCGAGGAGAACAGGACACGACACACCTGACAAACGAACCAAGTCACCAGCAAAGGACCGCGGGCGGAACCACTTCGCACCAATCGTCCCAGTTTGGGCACCACATCATCGTGAGCAATGGCAGCCAAGAGTCTGGGCGCCCCGACAAGGCTTTGCAACCCTGCTCCAATGGTGGAGCACAGGGCCCCAATGAGCACCACCCAGACACTGGGCCAGGCCAACAGAGCCACGAGCAGTTGGGAACCCAGGGATCGCCCGAACTTGTCGTTCAGCACAACACTGCTCACTCTGCCGGCGAGCAGCAGAACCCAAGACATGTACACTAAAAAATCATTTACAAGAACTTTTTGGGGATTATAATTTTATTTATAAATGAATTTAGATGTACCAGCATTAGTGCGCCACTTAAAAAAAGCGTGCGTCATATTCAAGTACAATCTTTTCCCGCATATGTTTAGAATATCTTTTACAGAATGTGACCACATTTACGGACAAATTTTAAAAGAGCAGCAACTCGAAGTCTCCTCTTATATGAAAATGAATTGATAAATCGATCTGTTGTAGTTAATGAATCGTGAACATTTTTCCACTGAAAACCGAGGTACGCGTCTTATGTATAGGGTGTGTCCCGTTATTGCACCACCAATGTAACGAAAATTAAATTTCTTTCTAAAAAAATCAGGTCATATTTTCACATGTTCAGTGAACTCGCGATTTAAAAGCCTGCAATCGTACGGAAGCTTGATTATCTGGACAAAAGCACTCGATTATCATGCGGGAAAATCGAAGTGCTCTCCTACAATTCTACTAACACGAAAATTATCCTCACTCATGGAACTTGATTACGGTGATTTGAACGTTGGACGGAATTTTTCTGAAAGGAAAAATAGATGTCACTAATTTTCAGGCGTCGTTCCACCGACGTTTTTCGCTGTTATAATACGCAACCCTCGCGTAGCTTTGAAACTTTTAGCAGTCAGGTTCTGCTCAACAAAAGTAGATGTCACTACCCAAAAAATGCAAATACAGTTGAACCTTAATAACTACTCCCCCCTCACATGAATTTTTACAAGCCCACAGAACAATTCCCTTAAAATCAACGCGGTAAAAACCCCCTTTATACTTAAAGGCTTTATTTTCCTCTCAAACCTTCATAACTCAAATATTCTGGAGGCCTTATGGATTCGATTTTATTGAAACAGGAAAGAGAAAAGCAATAAAAAAATGAACTTGATGTGCTTTGAAAGGGAGTGAAAGATTAATATTGGGAAAATCAACCCTTAATTAACCACAACTTCAGCATCTGCCTGTAAACTCATTCAAGTTTTAAGAGGCAATCTAAGGCCCAGAATAACACCATTTACAATTTCCTGCAATTTTTCTATCTTACCCTCAACACAAATGCTTGTTTCCCTATTTTGAACCCTATCTCATTGATTTATTATGGTCCCTTGAAATTTGACTAGCAGATATTCTACTGTAACGAGTCAAGGATAGTCTGCTGACCTCTCCCATTATCATCAGAGTATATTGATTTGTAACCACATCAGCTGTGGAGTAGTAAGTTTTGTTACTCATAAGTCATAACCGAGCAAGTGAGAATATGCATAACATCATTCTGCAGGTGAATCTGCAATACTGTGAGTAATTTATGCAGACATGAGACCCCATATATACAGACCCCAACATACACACAATTTGACTTGGGGACACTTGAAATTTTGAAAAATCAAACCCAATTAATATCCAGGCAACATTTTGACATACAGACACTTTGCCAACATTACTGGGAAATTGTAAAAGTTTATTTTTAACTGTTTGATATCTGTTGAAAAGCAATGAGGTTTGACGTCTATATTCATCGACGTCAAAAATTGATTTTATCAGCAAAATACTCAAATTTGTTATCCAAAGAGGTTAATATTGTGGTCATTATTACTTTTTGAGTATTCTTTGTATTATCAGTGAACAGTATAGCAAGACTTGTACTTTTTCTTTACTTTTTGGAATCTTTTTGATGCCAGAATATCAGATTCTGCATGGGTTTTTTTTACACATTTATATTCTGTGTCTTTTGGTTGAGAACCACATTTTATTTGATTTTTGGGGATTTATTTCCCAAATTTTTTGGGGATTTATTTCCAAATTTTTTGGGAATTTATTTCCAAATTTTTTGGGTGATTTCTTTCCAAATTTTTTGGGGATTTGTTTCCAATTTTTTGATGAACACAGAGAGCCAATTAAATGATTTACCATAAATTGAAGTCCGACGTAAATTAAGTTGTGAAATGCAGACGTTTCAACATAAGGACAATAAGGTCCCAAGCCCAACACCAATTATTTATTATGTTCGCATCTCGGGGTCTCACTGTACATGCAACAGTTCCCACGAGTGCAAAAAACTTTCTCTGACCTGACGAAGTCAGCAGAATTGCAGTGATGGTGCCAAAAGGGATCGACTTGGAAGGGTCTCTGAGGTCCCCAGACCGGTTGCAACCAGCCATGATGCCGGTCACTGACGGGAAAAAGATGCCGACGAGCACAACAAAGTCGGTCGCCATGTCAGCTTGCACAAACACGTGCCCGGGGTCGTTCCCAAAGTTGCCGACGTCCACGTGACTCCGAGTCCAGGTCGCAACGTAGTCCCCGGGTTGCTCTGTCCACTTGGGATGTAAGTTCTGGTACCAGCCGTTGGGCCAGGTGGTCGACAGAGCGGGGACTTGGGAAATGCCTTCTTTGGCGTAATACGGGTTGCAAATTCGTGATGCCTGGTCTGGACCCGCGTGGCAAAAATACGAATCCAGCATTGAGGAAGAGTTCTTGCTTCTCCTGCAGAATAAATGACACCTTCACTAGTTTACGTAAATTAATTATGCAACCATCAGTCTCACTTAATTACAGCATATACAGGTAAAATTGTTTTATAACAAAATTTGAAGCCATTGAAAAGTTTTTTATATGACGAGATTATACTGCTAAAATTTTTATTAATTTTCCTGATAGCAAAATTATTGAATTTACATTTTTTTATATGATTATGCTTTTTTAAAGCACTTCAATAATCAGCTGATTACCATTCTTTTCTCAAAATAATCACGATAATCCTTCCTATAATCGAAAGCAACACGAAGTTTCCTCAGAACAAATCTCTATGTATTAGACCTGCTTTTTGGAATAATTCGTGATTTTGTTTTTGATAAAATTTTTGGCTTAACACGCAGCAAATGAGACCTTTTAGAATCGCTTTTTTTGAAAGCAGGAAGAAACTTATGAATTCAATTCCTTTTTATTTTGGTAATCGGGGGGAATCATGAATAAACCGCCCTGAACAAAACTAGCTGCAAGGGAAAAAGTTTTAAAATTTTATTTTATGGTTTATATTGGGTTTTTATAAGGTTGACTGGCTTTATTTCTATAGGACACGGCAACGGAATAACAGTACATTTCATACGAATTTGTAATTCACGATTATGTAATTATTTTATAAAATTATCAAATATTTCATTAATTATTATTGTAGTACTAAGCTTAAAATCTTCTGTTGAGACCTTTGAAAGTTTCAATTTAAAGTACATTATAGAAAGGAACGTGCCCGTCTATTGTATATTCTCAAGTATAAGCTAAACCTATTTTCAAATATTGGTTTGAGTACATCACAAATAAAGAATCAAATTCAGGACTATTTTAGAAATAAACATGCCGAAGATATGAACGACCCAAAATTACCCGATAGCTTCCGTGAAAACTTCTTTGTGCTTGCAAATGCACTTCATGAACCATTTACTTTTTCTAATGGTCAGAGACGCTCATATGGAATGTCGGAAAGGAATCACTGGAATCCCAAACTACCAGTAATCCAAAGAAAATATTTTTCTCATTACCCGACGGAATCAAACATGTTTCTGGACACCAGCCGTTTTCCCACCATGCGAACATCCATGAATTCCGAGGGTTCCTTCACTAATAAGCCCACATAAACAGCAATGATTGACAGCACCACGCAAAGTTGAATTGGGATTGCAGTTAGGACAACGTGCTTCATTCCGACGAACACAACTAATGTGATCTAAATTAAAATAAAAAATATTTTATCGCCGGAACTTTCAAGCCGTACGTAACATTCCCACCAGAAATAAGAGAATTGTGCCGTAGACACGAGTAGCAGTCAGTTTATCAGGGATTAGCTGCGACATCTGCGCAGGAGCAATGTAAACGAAAAGGATTTCAATTGCTCCGCACACGTACATGGCGCCAGCAATTGTTGTGCCCAGGTAAAACAATATTCCCACAGCTCCACCAACCTACAATCAGAAATAAATGGAGAACTTTGACGTATCGCAGCTGAAATTTTTTTGAAATTCTGTAGTATCGCAGCTGAAATTTTGTGCAAGAAAAATGTATTCAAGCCCACAATTCTAAAAGACTGAAATCTCTGAAATATCTCTCAACCCATCTCAAGGATGTGCGTTATATACAGTATCAGAATCCTGATTGTGTACACGAATTTCTTTTAAATGTTTGCTCATGTAAAATTCTTGTAAACGTTTCTTCAGCGAATCTTTCCCCCAATATACTCCTCCCAGTTTTCAACTTGCAGTAATTCAAAAGTATTTAAATTTAAAAATTTTATTCTATTTTGCTAGTATTGTACAATGTACTTCAAAGTCCAGATACAGGTGGACCCCATTGTCAACTATAAATTCAAGAGACCAGAAAGTTAATTTTAGAGAGAATTTCATCGCACGAAATCCCTATAATAACATGTCAAGATAATCTCAGGGTACCAAAAAAAATTTTCGTATACAGAGAAAACCGTGGTAAACAAGATCATTGTAGATGTAGAGAGATTCCACCTGAATAAGGTAGTTGATTAATTACAATGAATTGAATGGCTGATTATTGAGTTACATTCATGCTGGGTACCACGAAATTTCCATTCCATTATCAAGATTAAACGACGGTCTGTCTTGCAATAAGCGTTGATACATGTATTTTTCGAGTGACGAAAAAACACGGTTGCAAGATGACTCGAAATACGAGTGATGCCATTTGCGGTAAATTAAGAGCAGCTGAGCAATAAAATCAAAAGGGGGCAGTTTCGCTATAGCATGTGTAAGTACTGCATAAACAAAGTACTGGGATCGAAAATTGCATGTTTCCTCAAATCGCAGTGATGAAGTATCTTGCCTCACTGTCTCGTCCACGTCACGCTTGAACAAAGAGTGAACCGAACTCCTGTATTGTGTTTTACTCCATTTCCTGGTCACCCATTAAACTAAATAATAACCAGCAGGTGCAAGATTTCAGCGAATTTGTGGGGGAACCAAATGTATGATTTATTTTGATTCATGAAGCAAGATTCGGTCAGACACTTCCTTCTCGCAATGAGGCTATGAAAATAAAATTTAAAAATCAGGGTTCTTTGACCAAACGCTTCCGACAAGAATTGCATTATTCACGTTCACGTCTGACCACGACAGACTTCCTATTAATCGCATCGTGTTGGAATTCGGAAGTTGACGCTGAATTTCAAACCTGGTGCCTTGAACAAAACATTGAATTTGACATTGTTGCCATAGGTAAGGGTCAAATTGTGAAATGGTCAAATTGCGAGACAATGTCAAACCAATGTTTTCTACATTGAAAATGACATTTTAGTCTCTTTATTGCAGTTTGAATTGTGGGGCAAGAGGTCAAATTGCAAGTCGATCTCCTGGAAAATTTAACTGTTTATTGCAAAACAGTCAAATTGCAGGATAATGAATTGCTATGTACCACCTGTACTACTCTTATACATTGGATTATCATTTGAGCCCTATAAAGTAATGTTGGGACTGCAGTACATGGCAGGAATTAAATACAGTATCATAGAAAAATCCTCTTAAATTCCAAAAACTGGCCCTTTGACGCATAACCAAAAAGCAAGTCCCAAAGGACTGGTATGACCATACACAGCATCCTCTTGCATTCCAAATAAAATCAAAATTTTCTGTCCTCTCTTTGGTACTTTCCTGTTATCTCTGTACCTACTTTCCTGTTATCTCTGTACCTACTTTCCTGTTATCTCTGTACCTACTTTCCTGTTATCTCTGATTCTCTGTACTTACTTTCCTGTTATTTCTGTGCTTACTTTCTTGTTATCTCTGTACCTTCCCTCTGACCAATTTAACCTGACCACCAAAATCAGTTTCAGCAGAATGCAGAAAAATAAAATTCACAGTTTCTGGTAGGTCATTGTGATTATGAACTTTCCTAAAGATTTGCTGGATTGTAGTGCAGTCTAGGAATGAGGTACAGAGATAACAGGAAAGTATCCTCTTTTTTCTCCAACTTATTGGCATATTTCCCTATTTCAGTGCCAATTCTTATTGTACAGAGCTCAAATGTTTACATTGAATCTTATCAAAAACCTTGTCTGAATTTATATTTGATACAAATTCGAGATATAGGGTCAAATTATAGGGCACCACCTGTACAGTACTGCATACCAGAACTCACCTGGGGACCCAATCCTCTGGAAATAATATAGTAAGGACCCCCAGCTGGAATAGCCCCATTAGTGGTGACAGCACTCAAGGAAACTGCAGTGAGCAGTGTGGCACCAGAACACAGCAGCACTATGAGGCCTGCTTGAAGCCACCCTGCCACACCCACAATCCACGCCAGACGAATGAACAGGATGACTCCGAATATGTTCTGGACGCAGGGCAGAAAAACGCCGTTCAATGTGCCCAGTTTCTTTTGCTCTGCGTTGCTCTTCTGCTCTTGCTGCAGACGGCTTCTTCTGGATGCCCTAACGTGATGCGGGTACGGATCTGGACCAGCTGCGATTATTCCGCCTGATGCATAGTGAATGATTCGAAATGCATGATTTCATAGCAAAAACAGGTGAAATCTAGTTGCAGCGAACTGCTATAAAGGTAGACTCTGCCTGCTCTGCAATGATTTTGCTACAACAATTTTCTCTGTACAATACTGTACATGTATATATATATATATATATATATATATACAGTGAGACCCTATATTGTGAGAGTATATATACAGTGAGACCCTATATTGTGAGAGTATATATATGTATATATGTATATATATATATAGGGTTGGAAATATCTGTTTCTTGTAATTTGGCCTGAATTGTCTTTGCAATTTTATCACAAAGTGTCCCTATGTCAAGTCAGTGTCCTCATGTTGGGCCTTATTTATTGATTTTTTCTGGGAAAATAAGTGTCCCTATTTTGAATTGTCCACAGATCAAGGTGTCAGCATGTGGGGTTCTCACTGTATATATAGGATATTTTTTTTCCCCATGTACAAGTGGACTCTCTTTCTACCATAAAATGCAAAGGGACCAGGAAAATTCTTTGTGGAATTAATTTTGCTGCAAAAACTCATATCAGATGGGGTGAGAACCCTTTGGAATAGAAAATATTATTTATACCAAGAATACCATTGCAGACAAGATTGTTGCATTACATCTGTGTAAATGCAAGATGCAAGAAGCCTTGTTTCTAAATGTACATGAATGAATTTATTTCTGCAACATGTAAGATGTACATGTATGCGCTGGAAGAATGAAGGAAAATTTTGTTACTGGAATAATTATTATTTATTCATTCACATATGACTCAACTGTTGGTTGGCGAAGCTCCCCAGTTCAGAATATACGGGGCTGCAGGAACTCTCCGTTTCTCCTTGTACAAATGCTCGTCTAGAACCATTTCCGAGACTCGAGAAGCCCTAAGAGATTTCCCTGTTCCTGTCGTTGCTGTGGTAGTTGTAGTATTTGACTCCATTTTCAATTCACAGAGTGTATGCTTATTCTTCTTTTTTTTATACCGATTTCTTATTGGATGGATCAGTGCTAATAAAAGCGGAAATTAAGGCACGAGATAAGAAAGCCCGCAGAAGGTTTCGTTTACGTACCCTGAAGATAAAATGACGACTAACTTTGCGAATACTTCTCTTTAGGTTACTGATTGCCAAAGCTGGTCGAATTCATGGAATTTTCCTCATAAGATGCTTTATGTGGAAAGCCACAAATGATCAAAGAATTTTCTTGATTAGAAGAGCTCTGCTGGTGGTCGAAAACGGTCTGATCATTCTAGCTGTTATATCTTCATTCGATGAAAAATTATTGCATTCCATACATTCGATGAGAACCATAATTCCGTATAAAATGTGAGCCATTTATTTTCCTGAAATCTTTTCAAGTTATTATAAAATTTTGTCGAATCAGGAAATAATCGAGTATCGTGAACTATTCAATGAATATCACAGGGGTTATCCAAAACTGTTCTGATGAACTGGGCTAATATCCACTGGAAAATTTAAAATTTGTGCTTCATTGCGGATCATCTTTAATTGAGAAATGAAAACATTTTGACGATCTCTTAAAATTTCAGGGTTTCAATAATTATTTTTGTGCTAAGACATTCATTGCCTGCTGGAGCTGGAATTTTAATTAAACTTTTATCCAAATCTGTTTCATATGTGCTGATAACACAATTATAGATAGAGCTAGAAAAATGTACTTCACTAGGATAATTTTTCAAGTGTTTTCAAGCTATGAATGTGCAGATTTGTTGGCATTTATTTTGTATGAGTTTAATTTAGAATCAGTTTTAGTTTACAATATATGTAATGCCGAAAAAGCTAATGATTCTTGCGATGAAAGAATCCAACTTTTATATCCCATTTTGGTGTGTCATTTTTGGATCTGCAAACAATTTGTCTAACATTTTCATGAGTCTTGAAAATTTCGAAAAATTGTCAAAACAAAAATTGTCACTCATCCTGTTGTTTTGTGTAAATTTTTTCTTCTTTACCATTACATTTCTGGAAAATCTGCCACTTAATTTACCACAGTGTAATGTCAGTCAAAGACCAGTTTTTGACTTGAGTCGGCCGCATTTCTTCTGGTCATCGCCGCTTTTTCATTGGAGCATGCTGAAAAATCAAATTATTTCCTGAAGTTTTCATCGTCTATAGAAAAGAATTAAGCACAAAAGAAAGAAAGGCAGGTTTGCAAGATACGAAGCCATTTTATTTGCTAATAAAATTAAATCATAAATCCGCGGATATCGGAAAGTAAAAAACTTAGGGATTTTATACTTCTACAGATTTAAATCACAAAAAAAAAGAAACATTCGAAGAAAGACGGTATAAATATTTCCCTGCGTTCCATTGCAAATTGTCCACGAAGCCGTTGTATGTCTGTAAGTTCATGCTTCAGCTGAAAAATCTAACCGGAAGACGAAGATGAGCTGCTGCTGCCCCTGAAAATCGGAATTAAAAATAGTAAGTTTTCATTGCTTTCAAATGACTTCGGTCATAAATTCCATCTGCTTACTTCTTGTACTTGGGGTACTTGTGGTATTTCTTGTAATGCTTCTTTGGCTTATACTTGTAGCCGCTGCTGGATGAGCTGCTGTATCCGGGCCTGTGTATAAAACAAATTGTAATTTGAATATACATTGTAATTCATAAAGTTCAATTGCATTTCTTATGAGGCACTTACTTGGCATTGGCAAGGGCATCAGGAGCGGGTTCAGCAGAAGCAGAGAAGATCAATCCGGCAATCAGGACGAAGGCAAAAATCAGCTAAAAATCGTAGAAAATTGTATTTAGATTATGTATTTTGTCTCGTGTGTTTTTTAAATTTTATGTAAGCCATTCGACCGAGGGCGCTTTTAGACGTTTTTCTTACCTTTCCCAAATACTGCATGATGATTTTTTTCAGTTGGATTTTTAGCACGAGAACAAGAGAACTTGAAAATATACTTCCTATAGAAAATAAAAATTCGAATTTTGTGTTTAAACCGCCGGATGAACGTGAACTCGATTTCTCAATCCATTTTATTCAATTTTAAAAATCAACGAATATTCAGAGTGTTATGAAATACAGTACGAATTAACACATTTAAATTTTGTTCGTAAAATGCCAGCCCGTCAAATTCGCAGATGGCACGAGCTATACAAAAATTGTTCAACCGCAACAAAAATAATTTTTTTCAAAGTTGTCACTCAAAACTTTAAATTATTTTGTTTTAATTGATCTTCTCTATAATTAAGCATTAGGTTTTGAATATATTCTGTCACAGGAAAAATGCGGGAGCAAACATTTTCTTGTTGAAATGTTTATGCAATGTATTATGAGTCTTCTTCGTTTCCTCCTCAATTTCGAAAGGTTTATAATTCGTGATACATGATGTTATATTCTAATAAAATTTGGAGCCACCCAAAAAAATAAATAAAAAGTTCGTGTAATTCTCAGAATGGAGTAAGTCAGTTAATTAATTGTTTTCTAGGAACTGTATATGCAGTAATACTCTATATAAATTAATAATCATTGTAGGCCGGTATAAAGAATCGCTCAAAATTTTAAAGAATGTTTTTAAAGAAGGAATTGCTTTTCCACTTCATCGTGTTAAATTAACCCGTGATGAACAGCACCGACAATTCACTTGAATCATTTAATCCCGTTTTTTTCGTTGAGGAACTTATGATTTCACTGATGAGAGAACCCGAAAGGAACTGATGCTGGACTGAGTCTGGGACCCGGGTATTTATACTAGTGAGGATATGAGCAGCAGACGAAAAACCTCGAATACCCTACTATTTGCTACACGAAAAGCAGGCGAGATCCGCGTGATGAATCAAGTGGAGCAAGGTGCGAAAAACGCCGGCCGCAGCCCGCGGGCGTAAATTGCGGGGGGAGAGAGATTTGCAAAAGTCCTTGGCGGCGAAAACAGTATGCAGCAGTACAGTACAGTACAGTACAGTAATGTCACCATCATCAAGAACAGTCCTTCTGACTTTGTTTCCGACTTGGTCTGAGAGTGTGTGGCGTGGTCATATATTCATATCGTAATAGGCATCCGGAGAGATTAAAGGCCCTTTCGTGACAGTTGGCCGCCATATTGCTGCTGGTTATTCGAAATCACGCGACTTCACGGGAAATCGCTTCCGAGCAGCGGCGGATCCAGAGGAGGGGGTTCCAGACTTTTGATGGAATTATTCGAAACGATGAAGGACGAAACGAGAAGAGGGCTTTATAATAATTTCCCACAATTTAGATTCAAAGTATTCCCATTAAACCGTGTTTACTCAATACGTACACGTCGTACTTTTCATGGGTATAATTATAGACGACGACGAGCATGTCAATTTTCTGGCTAAAAATTCGAAAACATATTTTTGCAACTATACAGGCAAAAGATGGCAAACAAGTCTTCTGTTTTCAGTAACTTCATGTTGTTGATAGGAATCAAGACAATTGAATAGCATTTTAATGAGTGCTACTCAAATCAAGTGTGAATTCATGATTTCATTATTTCATCTTCATATATCTTGTATAGGTTATTCAAAGTTATTCGGATGTTATATAAGGCTGCTGCTGAGTGCTGAGTGCTATATAATATTGATAATGCAATTATGACACGCACCAACACTTCAAAGTTTTCAAGAAAAAGTACATACTGCTGGACTCTATACAAAGATCAGGTGTAATCCAAAAGCCCCCCTGCCAAAATCCCCCCTAGGTGCAAAAATTGGGGATTACAGGTATCCTTGTAACTCTTGATGGTAAGCTGCACCTTTCACCAGCAGGCCCAGCACAAGGCCAAGTACCAATATGTTGGTAAGTTGAGTATATGAAGGGATTCTTCACCTGCAATGGTCATCAGTGATTCTTTGAATTTCAAAGCATCATCATTTGCTGACTTCTGCAAAATCTTCAGTTTACCTTGTTGGTCCAATGGCTGGTGCACTTTAGATCATCAATAATCAGAAAGGCGGTTAAATTGCATACTACAATGGCTATTTAGAAGAAAATGACATGGAGAGCATCAGTGATAGTGAGGAAGAGGCAGCAGTAAGGCAATTTTGAAGATGATTATTAAACAGTCCTTTTGAGGACTAATGAAACCAAATTGAGGACTAAATCTCAGGGCCACCAAGCACTTTTATGAAACTTACATCCAATTATTAAAAAGTGGTGGGGGGGGGGGCTTTTGGCAGGGGGGGGGGGCTTTTGACCTAGGGGGGCTTTTGGCAGGGGGGGGGGGGCTTTTGGTTTCCATTATAGATCCCCCACAAGGAAAGGGAAAAAATTAGATGCATTGCCGCATGACATTATCCCTCTGTGGCAAGTTGACACAGCAAAAACTGCCAAGTTGCTGCTTCAAGAATAAAACAAAAATAATACAGGTGAACATCCATAACTCAAACCTTTTAAAGAATAAATTTAAATTGAAGTATATTTTAGAAATGAAACACAGCAATCAGCCAAGCTGCAGCCGGGGTGAATAACACCCTAGTTTAAAGTTGTTGTATTTTCTCTGAAAATGCACGAGTCTGAGATTTCTGCAGTTTGAATAAACGCACAACACCCAATATTGTTTGTACAATAGACACACTTTGAATGCCAAAAAATGGTCAGTTCATTAAACAGGAAAACTGTTGAGAAGGTTGGGTCCGAGATGACTTATCATAGATAAGAAGAAATAGCAGGAAAGGTTTGACCTTGGAGGTCAGAGAAGAATTTCTCCTTGAGGAGAAGGCTATGAGATTTTAGGTGGCCTTGGGTTCTCACAGGTTTTTGCAGAAGGATGAGTTTGATGCCAAACTCATTCTTGGTTTTTACATGAGTTCCAGGATTGTACCCATCTTGGAATTTTTAGTGACAAACCTCCCCAAGTCAAATACCCCCCTAAGTCAAATTTTGTGCATTTCCCCATCTGAATCCCCTTAGAAACAAATAGATTAAAAACCTCCAGCATAAGTCAAATTTCCCGTGGCCTGTTGGCCATTTTTTTCTTCTCCAAAGAAAGAAACAAATAGCAATAAAAACAGAAATGTATGAGTTTTAAAGGAAGTGAAAGACTTACTTGGGCAAATGAACCCCTGCCTTCTAGTTCAGCAGCCTTTTTAACTAATTTACGAAGCCTTTTAAGCCCCAAAAGATCACCATTTACATTCTTATAAGTTTCAACCTGTAAAATTCTGCACCTCCCTAAGTCAAAACCTCCCTAAGTCAAATTTTTTAGCAGGTTCCTTGAAATTTGATGTAGAGAGGTTCAACTGTACCAATTTCAAAATTAGCAAGCAGGTAATCTTTGACAAGAACTCAACCTGATTATTGCGTTTTGATTATTAAAAACCAAATCCTTTAAATTTGGCAACTTTTGTTTCAGCTGCTTCCCCCCCCCAGGAAACAACAGCATCTGTTGGATTATCAGAAACAATTTCAAAAATCTTTGGTTTTGTTATTCAGCGCACAGGAAAAAAATATTGAGAATATACGCTGTTCTCACGTCACGGTGGAATTGGCAGACGCATTCGAAGCCACAAAAATGCGTATGAAAATAAATCTCTCGAGAAGAGGAACGACGCCCAGGAATGACAAATCATTGCATGGGAAAATAAACGAAAATAATGACGGTGGCGAAAAGCAATAGCAGTGAAGCACCAAAGGAACAGCGCCAAAGGACATATGAATAGTATACTTGACATTCTGGGACATGAGCACTTTTCCTCCCTCCTAAATATTCTTCATGACTCCTCCTCCAGATTTTTGGAGAAAATCTTGTAAACTGGAAGATGGTATTTTTCTTTGCTTTGAATATGTTTAGACATGATTACTAGCTGGTGTTTATACATTAAAAATGCTCCTCTTCCACATGTAGGGTATGTTTTTGACCTTTTATTCATGTGTGGTATCTGTTCTTTTGTTTTTGGCCACTTGCTCTTTTGCTCAGATGCTCTCTTAATGCATGATTTTTAGCTGCACTTGTGCCACATGCTGTTGTATGAAATACAAGAACATGTAGTAGTGTCTCCTAACCAGTGATCTTCTATCACATGCTCATTTGTCAAGGTCTCTTTTTAAACATCCTCTTTTGTATAGATGCTGATTTTGTCCAGTGCTTTTCTGTGAAAAATTTGTGCTATAAATCATTCTACAAACATATTGTAATGGGCTTTTCCTCAGAAATGTCCTCCGGCCCATGCATAAAAAATGGTCAAACACTCTTTCTGCACATGCTCTTTTGTGAAAATCTAGTTTGTTTATGCATGAGAAAAGCGGGGGCAAATGCGTTAATAAATAAATGCTAGTCTTCTGTTGGGGATGCTTTTGATCTTTCATCCATTTGTCCATATGCTCTTTTGGCCACTTGCTCTTTTTCTCAGATGCTCTTTTACTTCGTGTTCTTTTATTTTGGGCGCACTTCTGCCACATGCTCTTTTATAAGAAATAGTCTTCTGACAAGTAAACTTCCGTTGAAAGATCTTCTGTAACATGTTCAATTGCCAAGTTCTCTTTTTAAAATATCCTCTTATGTAGAAGCTAATTTAAACTGATAATTTTTTTTGTAAAATCCTGTTCTGCGTTGTGCATATTATAATTTTTCAATCTAGTAAAATGGTTTAGACCAGAAATTCCTTTGGTATTTGCGATTTCTCCACATGCTCATTATTCAATAGGCTCTTTTTGTAGGAGATGTTCATGCCAGATGCTCCTTCTTGAACATATTCTTTCAATTCTTCCATGCAAAATTATTTTTGTCGCAAGCCTTTTTGAAGTCTGATGTTGTTCTGGGAGGACCACTTTGTCATGCAATAAGTTGCAAATTATTCCCTGAGGTCTTCATCTATTTTATATTCCATCAAAGAAAAGCAACTGGTCAATTCAGTCCGTTTGAACCTAAATTGAGGGGGTGGGGGGAAGAATAGGAACCAGGGGGAGAATTTTTGGAAAAATGAAGACAAGTGCAATTTTTGCTGTGTCTGAAGTA